TTATTAGATATATTTTTGTACTAGTTAATCAATATTAGTATAATATAGTATATATAATATTAGTATGTATGCAACTTTATAGTTCAAATGCCACCGACTGTACACATGAAATAATCTTCACTAAAGCCTTTAATCAGATTCTCAAAACTTGTGCATGTCTTGAAACCTGAACGCGATTAATGTTTATAAGTGTAGTCTGTCGATATGAAATTCTACTATTGGTTTACCCGTGCACCCGTCTCTAGAGTCCTATATTAGATCTGCTGTAGCACTACTAATTTAACCATTTAGAAAAAAACTAGAAAATCCTTTTTCAATCTTAGACTTTAGGACACCCCCCTTCCCCCGCCCCCCCCCCCCCCCCCCCCCCCCAAATACTCAGGACATCCCTCCCTCAACTTTCATGTTTATTTCCCCATTTAAAAACTTTGTCAATTTTTCGTAAGCTTCTAAATTTCCTAAAAAAAAAGGATGCTGCTATAATTAGGCCCAAATCGCCTACATATGTACCAGCAAACAAACGTATAAAATCCCAAGCCAGCAAGTAGTCGCGAGTTTCTCACGGTCCATCCCACTACAAGTTTATTATTGACACAGTTTATTGCCCTGTCCCTGTCTTCAGATCTCCGTCCCCGACCCTGCAGTAAAGCAGTAAATCTCAAGGGCTATTTACGTTACAGTCCACTGGACACGAGCGCCACACAAAACACTAGGCCCATTCATCCGGCACTATAGACCATTACCTCACCGCTGGTCATTATACCACGCTGATGGTCAGCCCACTGCTGGGAGAAGCGAAAAAAATTTGCCTCTACTTCACGCAAGATGGTGTTGTATAGAGGGGAAAAAGTTTCATGTGGAGCAGTGGCATAATCTTTAAGTAGATAGAAAAAATTAAATCGGCTTCATACGTCATGACATGGCCTAAGGCAAAAATGTTGTCCTTATATTGTGTGGACCACATCTCGTTTTAAACCTTTTCAGATGTCAACCCATTCCGTTTTTTCAGAATTAAATTGGGCCATTGTTTGATTAGAAACTGTCAGTGAAACAATGTCCAGAAACTAAGATTGAATTTTAAAATGTAGATGTAAACAAGCAGAACCTTTGTGGCAGTTGGGGTGTTTGTAGAGGGTAAGCTGGGCATGCCGTGAACAGACCGTACGGTACACAGACCGACTGAAGCCACGGTGACAACTAGCTCTCGGCCGACCGCCGCACCATTGTCCGGGGACGTGTTGGCTCCTTCTCGTGTTCTCGATGAGCTTTTCTCTTTTGTTGGGGCCGGCCTGACCGCGCAATGTTTTTGTTTTGGTCACCATTCAGCTGCAGCCCCCAGTGTAGACAACATTTCTGTCTGCTACTCGACATCCACGTCTTTTATACACGATTCTTTCCATGCCTTACTTGACGTCGCGTTGCTTGGCAACTGTGAGTCCACTGTAAGATTCGAACCCTTATTCTCGCGACCTTCACACTGGGTCCGAAACAGTGGCCGGTCAACATTTGTGTTGAGCCAACACTTTGGGGCAAGATTTCACGTCCAGGGGTGAGCGGATGGAATCGATGTGCTGACCGTAAGATGGCGTACACAAGTGGTTGATTACGTCCCTTGATGTCCTTCTTATTACATGGGTTATTTTTATGGTGGGATAATAAAATCTACATGGGGGAGGGGGGGGGGGGGATTATAGGGCTTATTAACTTATTCTAGGCTTATCAATTCTTCGTTTGTTCTATCGTTATAATAAAGGCTTCAAAGTTTCTAGAGAGCAACCATGTGACCTTGATAGACATGCTCTGTAATAAATCTAGGCTAGATATTTTAGTTTGTGCTGATGTAACATCACGCTCTCCTGATCACTGTCGTTGATTGCTAATGAATTTCTCCCATTGATTTTCTGACCACCCGACTCAAGTACCGCATGCTTGTAGTTTTTTGATGTTTCAAGTTGTCTGAGTCGCATGCAAATGTGTAGCACCGTGAGCACGGAGTGGTGTCTGAAGAGTGCAGGAGTGTCGGCGGTGTGACGGTGGTCTTTGAGACATAACCGTGAGTGGTCAGCACGTAATGAGTCGAGTAGAACCACCCGCGCTACTCGCTGCCACTTGACCGCTCTTCAGACATCTATGTCCGAGCCTAGTGCCGGCCTTAAAGGGGAGGGGCAACTCACATGTACTCCAGCTATCTTACACAACGTCATTTACATATTCACTCGGCATGCACTACTCTAATGTACTCAACCGCTTCTCACAAGTTTGATATTAAAATAAAATAGGCGGCACATTTTAATACAAAAAGGGTATGATTGAAAACTTGAAAAGGCTTGAAGCATACAATCAACCAGACTTGCTTATCTAGTGGTTTGTACTTGAGCTCCCTACTCTATACAGCAACTGCTGCCCATATTCCTTTGTCTGGATTATCCCCCTTTCGTGTAGTGTACCCTATGATGTTTCTAAAGACCAACTGTTGCTGATACCCCTTTGTTATGTACTAAATTAAGTCCTCTTTGTAAGAAATAGTTTTTTTCATTTAAAAAAAAACTCGACTGTTGCTCATACCCGCAGGTGGTTGCGTCCCTAGAGCCACTCACACAGTTTGATCGACCCACTCACGCAGTTTTAAATTTCCCGGTACGTCCGCTTGAATGAACCGATACACGGGCGACAGGTGCAGACGCGGCAAGGAGACCTGGTTTCCTTGATGCGTGCCGCTCTCTGTCCGGGCTGGCTTTAACACCTAATAAGTTAGCCAACTTCAATCCGGGATTAACATAAATTCGCACGCATTCGGGTACTTTGGTGTTTCCCCGTTTCAAGCTCAATTCGGACATTTTAAATCCATGGCTTTGACCTTTAACATTCGGACGGTTCCACCACCCCTCCCCTTTTACTCTCCAGCCTTTAAAAACTGTGGACAAACAATGTAGCTGCAACGCTTGGTTGGGTGTAAAGTGTTGATAGTCAGCTAGTTGGGACTGTTTGAATGAACAAATTTATGAAAGTTGGTCCCGGCGTGTGTCTCCCCCATTGTCCTATCTTAGCGTCAACTCGTCCTCTTCATGTTCTGTCAAACATCAACAATAACAGCCCGTCCCCCGGGTCAGTCTCAGGTCAGACCCAGCAACAGATGTGCACCGTCTCCTTCATACTCGACTTTACCACTTGATGCACACAGGCAATTTTCTAAAGGTTGTGCTAGAAATAAATTAAATAATCTAACCGTCACCCAAACATCATCTCTACAGCAAGTCTAGGTTTTTAAATCTCTCATAGAATCTACATACTCGGGTTTTTTTTTCATATATTTTTGTTTTAAATTGCAACATCGTAATATGCAAACTTCCAACATGTAAAAAATCCCAACCACCAAGTCCTTATAAATACAAGTTTGAGATAATTTCCTTGTTTGATTACAAGCCGCCCTATAAACAAGTCCACCCCTTTACGCGAACCGCCGTTAAGCGAGCGAGCCGATCTTTTTCTTCCCAGCGTCGCCATCGCGACAAGCACCTGTTGTGTGCGCGTGTCAAGCGCCCCGATACTCTTATTGTGGGACCTTTTCTGTGAGTCCAATTTGAAATGGGGGGATTCAAATCCTGACCAATCAAACGCTGGCTTATTTCCTGACAACAGGTTGTACCGAGAATAGCTTGTCTGTGTTGATATTTTGGTTGTACAGTCGGTGGCCATGTTCTTATACCTGGATATAGTACCAAGGAATGGATTATGATATGATGCTTGTTTTTTCTTTAGGTCTCTTCACAATGTGTTTGTTGTGTTTGAACTGAAATGTGTTGAAGATTCTCTATTGGATAACTACAGTAAACCATCACCATGAGGGTATTCACTTGTCTGTCTCGCAACACGTCCATCGCACTGGACAGCTCACACAAGAGCACTAGCCTTATCTCCAAGTTCAACTTCAAACAGAAGAAAAGGCGATCTGGTCCTTACAACAAGCGGCCTACTACCCCACCCAGGGGAGTGGAGAAGGAGATGGATGAAAACACGCCACCAGCCGGCCACAGATACATTGCTGCCAAGGGGCGGCCAGCACTGACTGAAAACAACTACTCTCCTATGCAGAAGAAGTCGTCAACTTCAGCATCCCAGTCTAGAATGGTGAGCCGTCGTCTGAGCTCCCACCCTCTCCCACCCATCCCATCCAACCCAGTGAACGAGTGCGATCCCGATTACCTCCCCCACTCACACGTATGTTCCCCACTCCGGGAAGACAACTCTCAGGACACCACAACCATCTCTGTGGGTATCTACGACCTGCCCATGACGCCACAGAGACGTCGCTATGAAACCATGGAGTCTATGGACATGTCCTCGCCTACATGTGTCTCCCAACAAAGCTGTGATTACGTTTTTCCTAGAGCACAACACTTCACCCAGAGCTGTGTTAAAAGTGATAGCAATTCTGTGATAACCAACATTAAGCCTGTCAATTCTTTCAACGAAGCCTTTGTTCAAAGCACTGGTAGCCTTCCACATAGGACAGTTAGTGGTGTTGCCATCAGTACAGTGTCTACAAGTGTCAACTGTCAAATGGACACCTCGTATAACCAGTGCAGTCACATTGACTCATCGTCTCAGTATATAAACGTGGACACCTCTTCCCAGTACAATAGTATAGACACATCCTCCCAAGTGATCAATGTGGACACATCCTCCCAATACACAATCATCGACACATCATCACAATACAACACTATAGACACATCATCACAATACATCAGTGCAGACACATCATCACAATACATCAGTGCAGACCCAACTTCCCAGTATACAGTTACCAACTCAACACAAGACTCCCTGTCCACAACACAATACGAGCCAACAAATGGACTCACTGGGCTGTGTAACGACTACTACAACGTGTCTAGACTCAATAGCTTTAGAGCCAATGTGATACAAACCTCTGACCCCTATGATTCTCTTGAGGAGGAAGACACTATGATTGATGTTGAGCATGTTTCTGATTCCAGAGCCTCTGAGTTCTTAGGCTGTATGTCTTTTGGTGTCCAGAGTCTTCTCAAGAAGGTAGGCTTTCAAACCCGTTGTTTCTCTAGCAGATAGTATACTACACACATGCATATTTCTGTCCTAATCAGCTTTAAAGAACTATAATTTCACCCTGTTAAGATATTTGTAATTGATGTAAACCAATGTGTTTTGATAGGATCTGGATGGCTGGTACTACCTGTTGACAGAGGAAGTGGGCAGGAAAAAACACCTACAAGCCCATACAAACACCAAACCTGTACTCACTGCTAGAAGTAAGTTCTATAAGATAACATCTAACTCTTCAATGGAAAGGGAAATAACTTGCTTTTTTTAATGTCTTTAATAGTCTGGTTAGTATAAACTATTTTCTCTTATTTCAGGTCATCAAAATATCCCACAATTGAACAAAGTAGTTGATGGTCTTGAAAGAATTATGGTAGGTACCTTTGAAATCAATTATCAACTTATAAAAGATGAAACATTTGTTAATTATACACACGTATTTTGAAATGAAATCAATTAATTTTGTTTGAACATTTTAGATTTCAGTCCAACGTGGCAAAAATGGATTTGGATTTTCTTTTGTTGGTGAATTCCCCCCTAGAGTTGGGCGTGTTGATAGAGGTAAAGAACCTTTTATCTTTTGTTTTTACATCAAATAAAATGAAATAATAAAAAATTCTTGACTTCCCTGACACAAAAACATGTATCTAATTATTATAATTCAATTTTCCAGCATCCCCAGCAGAGCAGGCAGGCATCAAGAAAGGCGACATGGTGGTCAAAATCAATGGTCAAAATGTTTCACGCTCAACATGTGAAGGTGTTGCCCACTTGGTCAAGTAAGTTTTTTTCTTGACTATATCCAGCCAATTGTAGTGTCCACAACTAATAGACCAACAAAAGAATTCTGGATGGTAAAATTAATTAATTGTTACTTTTTGTTATCAGGAAAATGAACTCAAACTCTCTAACACTGGAACTACAGAGAGACCATGTGGTCAGCAGCACTATAGAGGTCACTGCTGTGAAGGGCAGGCACCCACACAACCCCTCACCCTACAACAAGAGGGGGGTGGGAACCTCCACCGACCACTTGTATGAGAGCATCACAGACTCGGAGCAGCTGAAAGAGAACTGGGTTGATGGGGTCAGCCAGGAGTTTGATGATGAGACAGTCTACTCACAGCATCACAACCCCAACATGCCTGGCATCACAAGCACGCCACGCGCTTACCTGGGCCAGAAGGTAACATTCTTTTCTCATTATTTTATTCAACTCACTTATTTTAAGCTTACCTGGGCCAGAAGGTAACATTCTTTTTTCATTATTTTATTCAACTCACTTTAAATTTAAATGAATCTCCCCAACTTTCATACACTAAAGAGCACCATGGCCCAGTCCCAATTTACTTTCTCCTGTAAATGTAAGCTAATGTCCCCACGTTTGATCAATTACAGAGCACCATGGCCCAGTCCCAATTTACTTTCTCCTGTAAATGTAAGCTAATGTCTGGTTTGATCAATTACAGAGCACCATGGCCCAGTCCCAATTTACTTTCTCCTGTAAATGTAAGCTAATGTCCCCACGTTTGATCAATTACAGAGCACCATGGCCCAGTCCTCTCGTCCAGTCAACAAACATGAATCCATCCACCGCCTGATGTCCTTAGAGCTGGACTACATTGACTTCATGCATTATGGCATTGAGAGATTCTCCAGACCTCTAAGACATTGTATAGTCTCTGCTCATCAACACATGACCATCTTTCAAAATGTTGAGAAGGTAAATATTGATCTGTTTTTCTTTTAAATCATTGTAAAAAATGTTCAACCTTAGAATGATGAAAGTTAAATGAACGTTTGATCAATGTATATCTTTGCTTCCCTCTAGCTTGTGACGATATCAGAGTACCACATCAAACAAATGCAGGAGAACAACTCATCAGTGGACTCTGACACTGAAGACTCTCAGTCTGGTGAAAGTGGCATCTTCCCCAACTCCGTGGCTCTTATTTACCAATCTAAGGTAGGTACATTTGTGGTGGCTTCTCGCTCTCTATCTTTTTCTATACAATTTATACAGTCATGAACAAGAAATATTACCTTCAGCTGTTAACTGTTTGATCTTTTGTTGTACAGATCCACATGTTGTGTCAAGCCTATGAGACCTATGCTAATGGACTCATCAGATCTAACGACCTGTTGCGGGAGCTCAGGAAAAACAAAGATTTTATGAGCTTTGTTAAGGAGTCATCCATTGATGAAGGCCAAGGTCATCCATCTATCAGTGCTTTTATCAATAGGCCAGTACAGGTAGGACAGAGTTTTTTTTCTTATTTGAAATATGGGTTTTAAAGTATAAATATAATTATTTTTTATAGTTGTGTGAATGAAATCTATAATTTGTTTTCCTTCTTACATATCTAAGAGCTGTAATTTATACTGTAAAAACCGTCTTTGAAATCTTTGTGTGAAACCATCTATAATTGCTGTGTTTTTTTTTCTTTCTAGCACATCCAAGAGCTGTATGGAGTTTTGAGTGAAATCTTCCAAGCCACACCCCTACACAGCACAGACTTTGCCATGCTGCAGCAGATAGTGATCAAACTGTCCCAGTGTGTGACCGCCATCACAGGGCTGAGTTCAGCTGGTCGGGTCCAGAGCTTTGACTCTCTCACATCATCCCAGGGCCGTAGCCAGGCCAACAGCAGTGGTGAGTAGCGTCAAGTTACTGCCGTACTTAAGTCAAACTCAAGTTACTGCTTACAATCATGTATTAATACTCTAACATGCAGCTTTATTGTCATGCTTAAATAAACCAAGAAATTTGTATTTGCCTACAGATAAAGGAAGTTTAGCATCACTGACATCATGTTCATCCGTTGAAGCAGAAGTGAATCCACCTTTGTTGCCCAGTAGTGCTGCTTCTGTCAGGTCTATAAACAGGGATGTTATGCGTATTCAAGAGAGACTTGTGTTTGCTCCTAACGTGCCGGTAAGTTTTGTGCATCAACCACTTTTCTTGTGTCGTGTGTTGTAAAAAAATTCTTCAAAATCATAATAGAAATGTTTATCCTGCATTACATTAATGTTTTTTTATATTTTAGACCTTTGAGTTGTGCCAAGAAACAAGACATCTGATTTACCAAGGCAAGATCTACAGGTGTAACAAAGATTCCTGGTTCAAATCCCAGCTTCTCCTCTTCACTGACCTGCTGCTGATTGTGGATGAAGATGCAGATGGCTCTCTAATTGTGTCCAGGAGCCCTATTTACGTCCAAGATATCATTGGAATGGAAGTTGACAGAAATTATGGTACATTTATTTTCTTCTATTTTTATTTCAATTACAAAAGAAATATTTTGATAGCATATCAATACAAAATGATGGATGTTGACAGAAATCAATATATTTAGTAACTTAAAAACTTATATATTTCTTTATTTGTATTCCAGCATCAGAATTCGTCCTTCACCTTGAAGCATCAGCACCAGCCACACTATCCAAAAGAAAACCAACGTCTGCCTCCTCAAGAATCAAAACCATAACTCTGAGAGCACCATCTGCCCAGGAGAAGTTTGTCTGGCAATCTTTGTTGGAGCAGAGAGTGGAAGCTCTGAATGGATGCCCCCTACAATACTTTGGTACCATCAAGAAGACCAGCATGGTTTTGTGAAGAACTTATCATAGCATAGTAACACCACCTACCATTTATCTTGGTACCAGTTATTTTATCAAGAAGTTGTCTGGTAAATTAACAAGTAACTTATCCAACTGATCAATGCCTTCAAATATCCAGACTAGTTTTGCTGACAAGGAACATGTACTATCAATAATGAAAGCTATTGTGTATTTTAAATTGGTAAAAATGAATCAGATGTGAAATGTAAAAATTAGAAAATCAACATAGACAAAATTGTAGCCAACAAACATGAAGATTATGCCCCTTTATATATAAAGTGAAAAGCAATGTGCTTTACATTTATCAAATGATATATGTTTGAAAAATATTTATTTGAACAAGACCTCTTCTAAAGATTTACTTTCATGGTATTATGTATTTAAAATCTGTTTGATTAAAATTTGTAAATATTTTTATTTATTAATCATACTCAATTTTGTACAAAGCATGTACTTCATTTCTGTGGAAATGTTTTTAAATAATGTTTATATATGTGTAATGTGCAAAATGGTCACATCAATCTTCTTATATCATTATTTATACATAATTTGATATCTTTTTCACATATTGTAATTTCTAGTGTATCCACTAGAATACATGTTCATTATTATATGCAGGATCATATTGATTTTAATTTGCCAATCATTTATTTATCATTACAATCAGTTTGTAAAGTAAATAGCATTTACTTTGTATTTAGTAGTAAATATATTTCATATGTAAGGAACTATTTGATTAATTATTTTATGCATATAACAATTTGAATTTTCTTGGTTGTCCCCCTTTGCCTTCATCTTGTTTCTCTCCCCTATTACCACTTGCCTGTGTCCTCCACCTTTCTCTCATCTAACTTTATTTTACATTACACTGTCTTGTCTGTCCACTGATATCAATTATTTTAAACATTTTAATTTATGAGTTATTTCTAAGAATTATTGTATAAAATGTTTTCCAGATGCTCTTGAATAAATCAATACTATTTGAACCTTCACTCTTGTTATTTATCATATAGTACAACTCCTAACATAACTGACAGCTTTAAGGGTAGACACCACGGATAGAATTTTTTTTTTAATTTAACACATTTCTGGGTATTTAATAAGTACATATGTTAGTAGTTGTTAGGCTATAGACAAAAATAATATATGGCCGTCAATAGCAGTACTGGTTGCCATGGGAACCGCGAAAAGGTGTGAAAACTAACACCTTTTCAAATCGCTAAGGCTTTGTTCCCATAAGAGATTTTTAAAAACGGATAAAAGATTTAGATTTACGAAACCAAACTATACATTTCTACGTTTGTTCATTGCGATAGCTCGCACTCAATTTTTATTACAAATTTTTACGTAAATTTATGTACAAAAATTAGGGGGTGGTATCACATAAGTATTGATATTTTCTAAAGTATTGTAGTAAACTTAATGTACAAACGTAGTTTTGTAGATAGTATAATGCTAAATGCATGTGGAATGTTTCAGTGCTGTAAGACTAAGGGTTCCAAAGCCTTAGCGATTTGAATGTTGAATTTTGAGTAAAAATGCAAAGTTGAGAAAACGTGAAAAGAAAGGCAGAAAAGGGCACTGTGCGTTTCCTCTTATAGCAAACAGAAAATGACTTCTTGTTATGTGTGGAAGAACCATTTGGCTAATAAAAAACGCGTTGATTCATGTTGTAAGTTTTAAATAGATTTTTCTGCGTAAGCAGAAAATATGCATACAACAGATAATAAATTAATGACTGTTAAGTCTTAAACATCCTATCATTCGATTGTTATTCTCAGAACAGCTATCATCAAACCAGATTAAGTTTTGTTTGTTAGCCGGTCTTCTCACGTCAATAGAATGTCTATTGTAGCTTACCCAAGTTTATTGCCTTATGATAATAGCCTACTACACAACGCTGGGTACAACGCTTGAGGTTAGACACGCCCCTTCACCCCACCCCACCGCTGGATAGTGCGTGAAGAACCAATGAGCCGTAGATTACCAATGTTCATTCAACCGTGAATAACACGTCTGTATAGATAGGGTCAAGTACAAGGCCTAAGTGAATGCTTATCAGCTATCCCATCTAGTATTTCCATTCGTTGCTAGCAAACCCTGTACGGAGAGATGGGCGGGCATACACATTAACACATGTGTCGTATACAGTCCGGTGTAAAGCCTGATGAACGCGTTCAAGCCTATCACAGCATGCCGTAACAAGATTATAAAACGGCCGTTGGTTGAATGACGAGAAGGGGATGAGGGGGATAAAGGGGATGGACTTAGTACATTCTTCAAACTGACAGACATGTCCATGACGCATTGTTTCAGCTTAGTATAATAAAGCGTACGAAACAGTGTTTAATATTGTTCCAGTGACAATCAACAGTACATTTGTTGGTAAAGTTTCAATTATTAAACTTAATTTTGTTCTATAACTTTAAAACAACAAATAGAAGAGTATACGCTAATGATGTAAACAAACAAGACTGGCGATTGTTTTGTTTATCTAGAAACAAGATGGCTGCCTAGCACACGTGGTTAGTTGCAACCTATCGCAGATTATTTTGATTTACTGTAATATTGTATGATTGGTCAAAGGTATCAATGAATCTCTTCCCATTCATAATGTTTACGCACATGCCCATATATGGAGTTTGACATTAAATTTTACTTGGTAGAAAACAACGTTTATCCCACTTATTTGTAGAACAAAAGAAAATGTCACTACACCAGCGGGTACACGAGTGCTTGGCCCTTAGATTGCTGTAAAGTTTATGGTGCCTCGCGGGCAATAAATGATGTAATACCCGCTCGAAGATAGCCGCTGTCCACGTAGTAGTGTGAAAACTTGCCGGGGGGGGTACCATGTTTCACATGGCAATAAACAGATAACCGTAAGGCGTAGAAGTCAGAAATGTTCGGGTTAGATAGATAAAAGGTATTAGTACCGAATTAAGAAATAAAAATTTTGGGGAGCAAAATTATTTTTTTATCGAAAACATGGGTATCTTGTATCCTTAATATAAGAAACAATCACAAAAATTTGTGGAAATAAAATAGTGGTTATATCTCAAGGATCTTTTACAAGCTGGGGGCTAAATATATAACAATTGTATAACATGGAAATTATTTTTTTACTATTGGACTAGATAGGAAACTGTCAGTACATCAGCCCATCTTTCAAGGTGGTCACCTGACTCCCTACGAGAGGGTCACTTATCTCGTCCCCTGGGGTGGGGGCTGTGAGTCTGACACTTCTCACTGTCCCTACTCACAAAACGATTAGCAAGCTCCACCCCTACACTAAGATAAATATACTTCATTTGTTGTGTCACAATTCCTTAACCCGCACCCCTCTCCTCAGTAACACATCATCACAATAGTCAGACCCACCCCTGGAGACGACTCAAAAGAAGGGCGACTAAAATAAAATGATGGGGAAAGTTTTAATAGAGACACGTTTTGCTGTACAGTTAGAGCGGCTCCCTCGAGGAGCGTGTAATTTTTTTTCATTAAACACTTTAAAAAACAAACGTAACCCCCACCCTAACACGGTTGGCCTGCTGCAAAAAAAAAAAATGTGTTCTTACAATTTGCGCACAACAGAGGCTATGTGATTGATTTAACACAGCCACTTTGTCATTTTAAAAAGAAAGATTTTTCATCCACTCGACTTTAATCCAGTAACTTTTGAGAAAGGTTTCAGAAGTTTTACTACTTAATTAAAATAAAACGGGTCATATTTTCCTGGTTCACCGGAACATTATTATTGTTTTACATAGATACAAAATGGCACCTGATCTCTTTTCTAAATGCTTGGAATTCAAAAACTAAGCAAAACTTCACAAATGTAATAATTGTACAACATATGTTAATAAATTTATAAAGTGCTGATTATCAAACAAAAACCATTTCGAAGAGAGAACTCTATATACTACTATATAGTATATAAAGAGTCTAGATCTAGCAGAAACTTGAGCTTGTGACAGTCGTGACTACCTACATTAAAACATCACTAGATCTAGTACTAGTACACACTACTACTTACTACTCTGCACAGTTCACAGTACACACTCACTGTGACACTGTGACTGAGTCAGACTGTTGTTTCACTTGTTTGTGACTGTGCCTATGCACACACTGACTGACAAAATCAATCAATCAACAATAACTATTTACAATATTATTAAAATGAAAATAATAAGTTGTGAATAAAACTTATAAAACAATCTTAAATTAAGATTCTTAATAGTTATAATTAGTAAATATTAAAATAATTAGCCTTACCTTAGGGCTTAAGTCTTAGGTAATAATAAATTAAAATTAGTAATGACTAATATGAATATTTATTATTTAATATTATTATTATTACAAATATGATCACAACCCAGCTTACAGGAGATGGAGGGCAGGATTGGACACTTAAGTCAGACATCAAGTCTTAAGTTTAAAACTAATTCAGAAATTGACTTTATTTAATAAGTACTAAGTAGTTAAGTAGTTCTGCATTATAAACTGTATTAAATCAGTCTTCTTATCTCATGAAATATACAAGTAAAAAAACTACACCCCCAAGTTAAACAAATATATGGCCCTATTATTTAAAAATTTATAGTAGGGTCTACCCAAATTGCCACTGAATAAGCCTATCACCATCTAACAAGTTCTGAAACCTGTACCAAACATTGTCTGCAATGCAAATAAGATCATATTCTAGTTGTTACTTGATAGTATGAATATTTAACACCAAGTTTTTATTTTATAAATGAAAATCTTTCTATAGGTCTGTTGCAAAATAATGGATCTCAATGAAGAACAGTCCTCTTTGCTTTCAAGCACTATTTAATCAGTAATTCAGGAGTATGGAAAGACTTGGCCCATACACACCCTCTGTTTTACGAGCACATAGTCTACACAGCTTAACAGATGGCAATGAAACAATCAGTGAAGCCGAGGAGATTAATGAGGTATTTGTTTTAATTTGTTTGATTACAATGGCAGGGATTATGTCTTTTTGTTTTAAAATATTCCTTAATAGAAATATTTAGTGTGTATTATAGAATATTCTTAAAAGGGATAAGTATCTCTTGTACAGCTACTTCCATCAATTTGGTTCACAGCTATCTTGCTGTGAGGTTTTCATCTGAACCATCATTTATATACTGACTGGTGACTTTCTTGTTGGTTCTTAAGCCATCTATTAACACTTTAGAGAAGATGATCCAGACACAATACAGACCAGACAAAATGCAGACATGGCCAAAAATTTCTGGACATTATATTTTAATACATCATACTGGGAAAAAAACACTAGACAAAAACATAGGGCAGATTAACACTTGACTAGATAAAAAATGTTACTATGTATAGCTAGACTGACATGGTCTTTAATGAGGAAAGTATAAGGGAATTTAATAAGTTGAATGGTTGGAGTCTTGGCCACATAACTAATAAGAAAATGGAATAGAATTTAAAGATTTAAACATGATTTGGGTCTGGGTCATCTTCACTCCATCTAAAGCAGTTTGAGCTTTTTTACATCTAATTTTCAAACATCCATGAGATTGCATCAAATGACTGTCTGGTTTAGGAACAAGTAAATAAGCTACATCACTCTTATAGTTTCATACCTGATGGTCAATATGAGCTGATGAAATATAAATCACCATAACAAATGAAAGAAACGTTAGGCCAGCATCTTGCCCAGCCACTCCTACTATCTCTATCTGGCCATGTACACATCAGAGCTAGGTGAACTCTGAGACGTCTGAATGATTTTAGTCTGTAAACCTAGCTTGATACTGTTAGATTAGCATTTGTTTAGGTTTTGTTAAAGTTTTATTGATTATCTGTATTAATTTATGCCATCACATCAGTGGCGTAGCGAGGTCGGGTGTCACCCGGTGCGGCACTTCCCGGGGACAAATTTTCAATTTTGCGCCCCCCCTCAAGTTTTCGATTTGCACCCCCCCCCCCCTCAAACTTTCGATTTCCACCCCCCCTCCTCAAGTTTTTCTCTATATATTTTGCTTTTTTTTTGCCTTGGTGTCACCCCCCTAAATGGTGTCACCCGGTGCGGTCCGCACCCCCCCCCCCCCCCTCGCTACGCCCCTGCATCACTTCATGGGGATATTGTCCAAAATGTAATATCTAACTTGTCATTACTACCTATAGGTAAAGTCCCTTCACAATCAAGGTATTCGAGCTGCTAAAACCTCAGACTTCAGTGAAGCTCTACAGTGCTATAATGAAGCTCTAGAAATTGATTCAAAAGATGTTGAGGTTTTGCAGGCCAGAGCTTTGGTCTATTTACAGCAAGGAAAAACAGCAGAAGCTCTTGCAGATGCTGATGCTGTGTTAACTTTAGATCCTAACAGTTCAAAGGTTAGTTAACCCAACAGTTCAAAAGGTTAGTTAACCCAACAGTTCAAAGGTTAGTTAACCCAACACAAGTTAGCTGGCTTAACACATACGCTTTTGAGATCGTTTTTTAAGTCCCCTTCCATCTCAAATTCTTATTTATTGAAGTCTATATTTTAAGTTATAATAGCCTACTTAAAACTATGATGCTGCACTAAAATTAACCTTCAGACTGTAGGCCTACTTAGTTCCAACCCTAATTGTAGCCATAATGATTGAAGACTTGAAAATAATAAGACAGGATTGAATTACAATAAGACTACACACATTAACTGTTTACTTATGAAAAAGCAATTTAAAGCTATAAATTTTAAATAATTTGACATACAATGTGGATGCATTACTTTTTACTACCGAATCAAAATATAAAAGTTGTCATCTGATTTGCTTAAAACCTTCAATGTCATCTGATTGGTTTAAAACCTTCACTGTCATCTGATTGGCTTAAAATGTCCACAGGGTCGTCTGTTGCAAGGCATGTGCTACCAGAAAATGAACATGTACAAATCAGCCTTGGATGTTTTTATATCAGCTCTAAACCTGGATTCTGATAATGCAGACAAAATATGCAACCACATTGTGTCAACTGTTTCAAAAATGTGTCAGTTACCAGCAGAAATCACAAAAAGTTTGAAAAGTAAACTTTCCATTTTTAAAAATTCCTTGAGTGTACTCTTTGTCTTTGAAAAGTTTTATTATTTTAAACATAACAATTGTTGGGAGTTGTAACTTGATCTTTTTATTGTTTGTTCATTTGTTGTTATTTATGTTTATATAATTATTATTGGTTACATAATTTGTGTGGTGAAGATATGCTTCTTGGACTAATTAGTGAACAAATTAGAAAACAAACCTGCAAATCAAATTAGTTAAAATGTTTATTTAAAAAAAAAAACATAGTGTACACTATTGGAAATATTCATGTTTATTTTTAATATACATTGTTGTTATGAAGTTATGCCATGAAAAAATTATAATATTTAACAATATCTCTTGTGTAGTCATGGAGCCCTATGAAAAACTAAGTGAAATTGGAGTTTTCCTCTACCAACACAAGAAATATGAAGCCTGCATTAGTGTCCTAGAGTCTTCTAGAAAATTCCAGACCAACCAGAAGGGAATAACCATGAGAGTTCTGCTAACATTAGCCAACGCCCACTCTCAGCTGTTACACATCCAGGCTGCCATTGGCTTATACCAGGAGTGCTTGAGTATTGCTGTTGCCACCCATGAACAAGTAATTCTTATATCCTACATCTCTATTAGTTCTAAGGAAAAAATTGTGAAAAAGATCAAAATACTTTCATTCTGAATATCACAGCATGCAGTAAAAAGTTTTTAATATTTTTAGGGATCATGAGCTGAAAATGTATAGCTCAGAATAAATGATTTAGAAAAAGTGTCAAAAAACAGTTATCTTTTTTAACTTATCCTTCAATAATTTTAATACTATAAAAATGTAATCAGCATGATACGAACAGAACTCAACTTTTAAAATTTTTGTGTGAACTCCAGGAATATCAGACGAAGGCACTGGTGAACATCGCAACACTCCATCTTGAGAATGGCGACACCCACCAAGCCATCCTATTTTATGAGAAACTTTTACATCTCAAGTCAGAGCTAAGGGAGGGGGGAGCAGAGCTGAGCATGCCAGACTTCTGGACAAAAGAGCTCCAGTGTGGTATCCACCTCAACTTGAGCATAGCATACAAAACTATCAGCAATGTTACATCAGCTGCCACTCACGCCAAGATGTGAGTAGCTCATGGTTTTAATTCTATTTTTAAATCAATTTGAACAATTAAAAAATTTATTTCAGGTAATGATATGTTTTTTAGATAACTTATTGTGCATGCTGCACTCTTTTTGAAAAAATTTGAAAAAAAAAACACAGAAGCTATCTGGATTCACTTGAATGTAAAATGTTTTTTAAAAAGTGTTTTGCAATTCCAAAGAATTTAATTCCAAAGGATTAACATCTATTACAAAATCAAATATTAAAATTTTTGTGGAATCCTGGTTTGGAATCAGTGACAATTTGAATGGTGTAGAACTGATAATATCCAGAATTGTTAGATGTTAATTAAAAAAAAAATACAGAGCCAATATGTAGTATAAGTAATAGATCAATGCAACTATGAAGCTGTTGAACTTTTTGTGTTGCCATTATTTAGCTACATGGAGCTGACAAAAAAGTTTGGAATGCCAGTAAAACAAGTAGCAGACTCTCTCCACAATACTGGAATGTTGAATGAAGTTTTAGGTAACTTGTTCATAACATCCTTTCAATCTATTTGCTGTCTGCCCTCTAGATCTATTTCTAACCAAAGTGTTTTAGTAATAAGCCTATAGTACAGCTTTTTTACAAAAATGTATACATCGTTTCCTAGCAATTTGATATCTGTATTTAGTTTCCTATATAATGGAAAATGGCCCTAGTAAAATCTTTTAACAAATCAATAAAAATGCAGGCAACCATGTTGAAGCTCTCTCATGCTACAGAGAATTTCTCTCACTCTCACAAAGCAGTGGTAATCAGAAAAGTATTGGCCAGGCTTATGGGTAAGTCTGATCTACGAATAAACTGGGAAATTAAAAAGAAACTAAGTATCTATAATATAAGTTGGTACATTTAAAAAAGATTCACCAGGGCGTAGCATGGGTATGCAGCTAGTGCTCTTATATGGGTTCTTAGGATTTAAAAAAAGTTTTGTTTGTAGGTGTATGCAATAATTTATAATAATTAATGTAATGAAAATATCAGAATTTTTTTCCTTTTTGAGGATAAAATACAATTATTTCTAAAATGTAAACTTATGTTATTTAAGATGTTAAATTAATGCATGTGTGATTGAAATAATGTGAACAAAACAAAATGGTTGACTGTTCCATCAGCTCCCTGGCAAGTGTGAATGCTGCTTTAAAAAACTGGCAAGATTCCCTGGACTTCCATAACAAACACATTGAGATGGCCACAAGATTGAAGGATCGCAGGATGATGGTGCTGGCCCATGAAATGATGGGAGACACATTATGTTTGAAAGGAGACTATGAGTATTACACTTTTTATAACTCCTTAATACAAAATATTCAATACAATAGTATTCTCTTAATGCTAACATGCTGCTGTAGGTAGAAGCAGTAAAGTGGTGATGGCTATTGCACTAATTAACCTGCATGTAATAATTCCCACCAGGCTGGCCATTGACCACTACAACCAAGTGTTGGCCATGGTCCAGAGCCGGGACAACGCAGCGGACACCATGGCCCGCTGTAAACTGGCCGCAGCTTACAAACAGCTGGGACAGCTGCAGTACAGTTTGTATTATTACAAGTAACTGTCTTTTGGTTCATTTGGGATTAGAGAGTTATCAAACTATCTTTTGATTAGAAATTTATCAAACTTACGTAACTTGTCAATAAAATTTATTCCTCTATTTTCATGTTCAAATATAACTGATTGTTTTGTTTATCTGACAGGAATAGTTGAAATGTAATTTTTTATTGTTAAATTGAAATTACAAAAAAAAGAGCTCTTTTATGTCTTGTGATAAATCATTGCTTATTTTATTAAAGCAATTTTCTATTGTATCAAATAGTGTCTGTTATAGGTAATTTAGTCAGTTTGTGTCTATTGTATTTGCTCTGTTTTTTCCTATTGTATTATGTCAATTATTTTCTACTTGGTTCTCTAAGAAAGAAACAGATAACTAGAAGCAGATAACAAAAATAGCACAACAATGTTTATTTTCTATAGCCAGGCATTGAGTTTGGCTCAAAGATTTGGCCTGCCAGACATAGAAACTCTGGCAGAGTTCAGCATTGCTTGCATCAATAAGGATTCAACACAGTACACGGAGAGAGAAGAAGCTCAGAAAACTTTCATCAAGCTAATTCCATATTTTGGTAAAATTCTATTCATTATCAACTGATTCCGTATTTTGGTAAAATTCTATTCATTATCAACTGATTCCGTATTTTGGTAAAATTCTATTCATTATCAACTGATTCCGTATTTTGGTAAAATTCTATTCATTATCAACTGATTCCGTATTTTGGTAAAATTCTATTCATTATCAACTGATTCCGTATTTTGGTAAAATTCTATTCATTATCAACTGATTCCGTATTTTGGTAAAATTCTATTCATTATCAACTGATTCCGTATTTTGGTAAAATTCTATTCATTATCAACTGATTCCATATTTTGGTAAACCTTCCTTTATGATAAAAGAATAAAACTGGATAACCATCAGAAACAAAATATGATAAAAATCAAACAGTTCTAAATTAGGGCTATACATATTTTATTATCAGTATATTTAGATGTTTTCAATAAATTAGCTAATATAAAACAAACTTTTTCTTGAAGAGAAAAAAGTGAATCAGCACCTAGAAGAGAACTCTCATTGCCCTGAAGTTTACGAACAGCAGCTTGGACAATGTTATGATGGGATGCAAACTGTACTGGCATCAATGTCCAACAAGTTAGGTTGTCTTCAGTACGCGGAGGCCCACCGCAAGCGTGGCCTGCTCTCAGTTCCACACTTTCAGTCTAACTATCGTGCCAGTAACCACAGTTTGGATTCTTGCAGTGAAGTAATTTAGTTTTTTTTAGTTTACTCTGCCATTGGAGTTTTAATCAGTGCAATTTATTTAATTTTAAATATAAGATCCTGAAAAAGGAGAAATAATTAAAAACAAAAAAATAGTTAAAAAATAATTCTTAAGATTATTTTACATCTTAGTATAGAAAACATCTTTAAACATTTTTTTTTCAAGAGTGTTAACACCTACACCATGCATTAGCAATTAAATTTATTTGTGATGTTTTAATCCCATGTTTTTTAAGCTTATGTTTTCAACTTCTAACTTTGTCTATTGACATAAATGTTACTATCCATCTTCTATTCCCTCCACCCATCCCACATCAAGTGAATACAATTTCCAGTTTGTTTCTTTTTACTTCCATATCATGGCTTAAGACAATACATGTTTGTACAAACTCTGTTGTGTAGTGATGTCAACTTTGTGGCAAAATTTTCTTTTTAATGGTACAAGTAATTAACCTTTTGCTGATGCTGCTACTTCTTGTGAAATATTTGTTATAATTCCCAGACTGCTGCTACCATTTTTATTGACACCATTTTTATTGACACCATTTTTATTGACACCATTTTTATTGACACCATTTTTAGTGACACCATTTTTATTGACACCATTTTTATTGACACCATTTTTATTGACACCATTTTTATTGACACCATTTTTATTGACACCATTTTTATTGACACCATTTTTATTGACACCATTTTTATTGACACCATTTTTATAGACACCATTTTTATTGACACCATTTTTTTAACCTACTTTTGTTCCCCAGCTGTGGGAAACTGACCACTTGAAACAGATTGTCTCCCAGCAAAATGGGACAGTACTCTACTACTCACTTCTGGATAATCTCCTCTTGCTGTGGGTGTTGTCTCCAGGGGAGGGAATCATAAGATTTTATTCAGCTAAATCTTCAGTCAACAAAACTTTCTCCCAGATAGTAAATTATTTTGTTTACATTTTAAAAATATAATTTCATGTTTTCATAACACACAAATATGGTACATCCTCATAGATATGCCTACCAAGTAAAGATTAATTCTAATTAAAATAAAACTGATTCTTATTCTAGATAACAGAGTTGCTGGCTGAGGTGAGAGAAGGCTGGGACACAAAAAAGTTGTACCACACATCCGAGGCTAGGGCACTGCCACTCAAAAATGCAAACAATCAAAGCCAAAGGTCAACTATTTCAGACTCTACATCAGCCTCAGCTACCAAGGTGAGTTGTCTCCCTGCATTGTCCTTCGATGATGTTTTTTTATTGGCATCATTCTAAGATGTTTTTTTTATTGGCATCATTCTAAGATGTTTTTTTTTATTGGCATCATTCTAAGATGTTGTTTTGTTTTTAAGTCAGCTTATTTTTGTTAGTTTAGTGCAGTGAATTGCTGAAATTTGCTAAAATAACTACAATTTTATTTTAATTTGAAACACTAATTTCCAAAGAAACTAGTTGGTTAAATTATGCTTTCTATGTTGATTTGAAAAGTTGAAATAGAAAATGTTTGTTTTCAGAGTGTTGATAGACCTAGCAGTAGAGAATCCAAAACTGTTGATGGACCTAGCAGTAGAGAATCCAAGAGTGTTGTAGACAGACCTAGCAGTAGAGAATCCAAGAGATCTGATAGACCTAGCAGTAGAGAATCCAAGAGTGTTGTAGACAGACCTAGCAGTAGAGAATCAAAGAGTGTTGATAGACCTAGCAGTAGAGAATCCAAGAGATCTGATAGACCTAGCAGTAGAGAAACCAAGAGATCTGCTCTTCGCCAGCTCTATGAGATTCTGATTGCACCAGTGGAAGATATTTTAAACTCACTCAAACAAGGGAGCCAACTCGTGATTGTACCAGATAAACAGTTAAAGTTGTGTCCCTTTGGGGCTTTGGAAAATGTTCAAAATGAAGCCCTCTCTGACAGGTGACTTATTTTCTAACAGACACAGTGTTTGGGGTGGGGGTGGTGAGGGGTATATGTGTGGGGGGTGGGGGGGGTGGGGAGGGTGTGTGTGTATATGGGGGGGGGGGGGGGGCTTTACCTGAACACAGGCTACATATCCTACATTTTTATTCTTTGTTATTTACTTAACATATTTTCAGGTTTAACATCAGTTACGTATCTTGTCTACTAATTTTGGAGAAAGTTATCCACAATGAGCTCAACTACCTTAGAGCTCAGGATGAGCTTAACCTCCAGCGCCAGATGGCCAGGAATGGAGGGGTCTCAAAATACACCAGAGAACACCCAGAGCTCCGGAATTCCTTCCTGACCATTGATGACACAAGTGAGATTCACTGATTAGATGCCAAATGTTGATTCACTGATTAGATGCCAAATGTTGATTCACTGATTAGATGTCAAATGTCGATTCACTGATTAGATGCCAAATGTTGATTCACTGATTAGATGTCAAATGTCAATTCACTGATTAGATGCCAAATGTTGATTCACTGATTAGATGTCAAATGTTAATTCACTGATTAGATGCCAAATTTTGATTCACTTTTACAGTGCTATACAGTGGAGATTTTATTATAGTAATACATAGGAGATATTTTATACAATTACTGCACTTTCAGCTAAATTTTTTAAACAAATGTTTTCTGTGATTGAGTAAGCAAACGACTGAAACAAACTTCTTTTCCCTAAGTGTTAAGTCACATGGTTAAACATATTTTAGTGAACAACAATTGTCAATTTTTGTTAAAAGAATCAAGATTTTAAAATTACATAAGGTTATATTAAAATCTATTTATTTTTTAGAAACTCCATCATAAAATAAAATTTTAATCATTAACTGTCATTTTAAAAGTATGTGTGTATTGCATTAACTACAGACCTGGTTCACTAACATGTTGTCTATGACAGTGTCCTACACCACAGACACATCAGGACCAATCAATCTGAGAGAAGTCTCTAATCCAAAACTTGCCATACAGCCAGACCAAAACACTAGGGGAAATAACTCTAAAAATGTAAATGCAAATGAAAAAGTTAGACCTCAGAAATATGCAGGTATTAAATGTTTAAAAATTAGCTACTAAATTATCAGAATTAGAATTTTTTGCTTTATTTCTTGTGATGTTTTTCACTGCTATGATTAGTGCTATACCATTATGTAAATTTGTGTAAATTATGTAAAATTATGTAAATTTATTTCCTTAATTTATTTCCTTACAGGAGCTCATGTGGTAGCACTAGAGAAGCTACTTGCTACCCACACATATTCTAAGGTAGCCACTCGCACATGGACTGACACTGATGTGACCTCCTCTACCCAAACCATTCCCACCTTTCAACAGATCAGTGACCAGAGGACATCCCTGGTCTTTGGGAGTCCAAAAATAACTCAAGTGTAAGTCTCTTGTGTAAAAAGTTTCAGAATGTGTAAAAATGAGTGAACTTTCAAATTTTACCTTTTGATTTTGTACAAAGATCCAGTTTTAATATAAACAGTATTATATCTAAATAAAAATACCCCACAGGTAACTTTATGTATTTGCTTGATTTAATTTTTTGATTATTAAAAGTGTAGGTTTTGGCCTAATTTAATATTACAGTTTATTTGGAAAAAAAATGAAAGAAAAAAATATAAGTAACAGTTACTGGTTTACTCTGAGAGGGAATAATTCTATATTTTAAATTCCACTGTGCGCTCTTCATTGTCAGGGAAATCTGTCTTACAACACAATCTTTTGAATTCTGTTTATTATCTGTCCAGTTCTAACTTCCTTCCTCCCATGATTCAACAGTGTAAAGATCAATGACCAGAGCTGGACACCTAAGCTCGAGCTGGTCAAGGCACAGACAGAGCTGCTGTTGGTGGCGGAGTGGCTGGGGACTCACTGCATCATAGGTGAACACGCCACTAGACAGGAGCTGTTGAACAAATTGCCAACAGCTGAGATTGTTCATATTGGTAGGTCAACTTGTGTAGACAGCTGAAATTGTTCATATTGGTAGGTTAACTTGTGTACACAGCTGAAGTTGTTCATATTGGTAGGTTAACTTGTGTAGACAGCTGAAGTTGTTCATATTGGTAGGTTAACTTGTGTAGACAGCTGAAGTTGTTCACATTGGTAGGTTAACTTGTGTAGACAGCTGAAGTTGTTCACATTGGTAGGTTAACTTGTGTAGACAGCTGAAGTTGTTCATATTGGTAGGTTAACTTGTGTAGACAGCTGAAATTGTTCATATTGGTAGGTTAACTTGTGTAGACAGCTGAAATAGTTCATATTGGTAGGTTAACTTGTGTTGACAGCTGAAATAGTTCATATTGGTAGGTTAACTTGTGTAGACAGCTGAAATTGTTCATATTGGTAGGTTAACTTGTGTAGACAGCTGAAATAGTTCATATTGGTAGGTTAACTTGTGTAGACAGCTGAAATTGCTCATATTGGTAGGTTAACTTGTGTTGACAGCTGAAGTTGTTCATATTGGTAGGTTAACTTGTGTAGACAGCTGAAGTTGTTCATATTGGTAGGTTAACTTGTGTAGACAGCTGAAATAGTTCATATTGGTAGGTTAACTTGTGTAGACAGCTGAAGTTGTTCATATTGGTAGGTTAACTTGTGTAGACAGCTGAAATTGCTCATATTGGTAGGTTAACTTGTGTTGACAGCTGAAGTTGTTCATATTGGTAGGTTAACTTGTGTAGACAGCTGAAGTTGTTCATATTGGTAGGTTAACTTGTGTAGACAGCTGAAATAGTTCATATTGGTAGGTTAACTTGTGTAGACAGCTGAAGTTGTTCATATTGGTAGGTTAACTTGTGTTGACAGCTGAAATAGTTCATATTGGTAGGTTAACTTGTGTAGACAGCTGAAATTGTTCATATTGGTAGGTTAACTTGTGTAGACAGCTGAAATTGTTCATATTGGTAGGTTAACTTGTGTAGACAGCTGAAATTGTTCATAATGGTCAATTTTTGTACATTAAATTCCCGTAAACATGATATTCATGTGGATTTTTAAAAGTTTTATGTATCCAATGATGTTTCATAGATTTTGACTATAAATTCCCAAAAGACAAACGCCCAAATGCTGTTTGCCCGGAGGACACTTGCACAAATGCAACACATGTGACAAACACGACTAACAGCATTTGGACAAGTGTCTTTCTGGAAAACATCTGGATCCCATTTTATAGATCTACATAGCCGATGATGTTTTATAGACTTCTGAAAACATTTTTTTCTCCACAGCCACCTGGGCTTGTTTACGTGAGGGTCTGCTGCTGGTCACACCTGACCCTCTGACTGACCAATCAGGTGACTCCTCCCACCCTGAGACTGACCAATCAGGTGACTCCTCCCACCATCTGACTGACCAATCAGGTGACTCCTCCCACCTAGTGACCATCTCAGACATCCAACACTTGAAGCTGACGGCCAAACTGGTAGTGATGTCATCTTGTGGCCTCTCACCAGCCAGGGCCCAACAGGAGTGTGGCCGAAAGCTGGCCAGTGCCTTCCTGTCTGCAGGTGATGGATAATCTTATGTAAATGATGGATATGTTTGTAAAGCATGGATAAGTGTGCATATGATGGATTATCATGTGTAAATGATGAATATTCTTGCGTAAATGATGCATAAGTGTTTGTAAATCATGTATACATTTGTGTAAATGATGGATATGTGTGTAAATGATGGATGAATTTATGTAAATGATGTAGTAAGTTTTAAATAGTAGATAATTGGGGAACATTATTTTTATCATTTAAACATCTATAGCCAGGTTTTTCCTATACAAATAAAAACTAAAACTTGAAACAAAACTAAACATCATGTTGATGCTGTCTTCTATCCCACCAGTAAAACTTGAAACAAAACTAAACATCATGTTCATACTGCCTTCTATCCCACCAGTAAAACTTGAAACAAAACTAAACATCATGTTCATACTGCCTTCTATCCCACCAGGAGCGGAGTGTGTCCTAGTGTGTACATGGCCCATACCAGACGACACACTGTGCACATTTCTCTTCCACTTTTACCAAACTCTGCAAACATCAGCATTTGTATCAGAAGCCTTGAGGAATGGGGTCAAGGCTGTTAAAGAAGACACCAGGTAGGAATTTATTTTATCACTCACAAAACCATGTTTCTAGATTTTAGCCTATTGACCATAGATCTAGTTCAGATTGATTTAGTTACAGGATTTGGTCATATCATGCCATCTCGCTAAATGAAAAACTCTGCAGCTACCATTTTCAAGTAAAAACCTGCAAGCTTTAATCTCTGGTCTTCAGGTGGAATCACGTCTGCCACTGGGCTGGTTTCACATTGATAGGTAAAGACACCCAGGTGAGCTTAAGTGAGGTCAGACATGCGGAACTGGATCAGCTGATTGACAGGTGTGAGGCAGATGTGGAGGAAAGTTCTGTTGTACCCTGGTTAAACCCTGCATCAGATGTACCCAACTGTAAGTTAAGTCTAAGCCAACTGTAAGTTTAGTTAACCCTAAGCCAACTGTAAGTTAAGTTAACCCTAAGCCAACTGTAAGTTAAGTTAACCCTAAGCCAACTGTAAGTTAAGTTAACCCTAAGCCAACTGTAAGTTAAGTTAACCCTAAGCCAACTGTAAGTTAAGTTAACCCTAAGCCAACTGTAAGTTAAGTTAATCCAAACCCAACTGTAAGTTAAACTTAAGGCAATTGTTAGTTAAATTAACCCTAACTCAACTGTAATTCAATCCTAATCAAAAGTACCTTTAAATAACTCAATGTCTTACAATATCCTTTTAAAGTTGTTTAGATTTATTTAACTTACTATTCTTGATAAAGAAAGGTGAGTTTAAAATCAAGAATATTCTAATATCCACTACCAATATTAGCTATAGAAATAGGCTTTATGGTATCTGATGTAGAATTATTTTATTTTAATTATTGAGATGGTAATTGCTGTGTATTAAATATTGAGATCTGCTTCTATCTCCTACCCTCAGTTGCCAGTAAGGAAGAAAACATGGAAACACTACAAGAACATGTGAAACTCTTGTTGAGAGAAAACTACAAAAGTTCTCAGGTCATTCCTGGCCTCATTGAACTGGTAAGTTTGAAGCTAATGAACTTCATCTCTCTGTACTCTAATACATAGGAAGGTTAAGCTTAAAATCTGTTGCACACATTTCTAAGCCCGGCAACATTTTTCTTGTAGTTGGACACAACACTGAAGCGCCTCCACACCCTAGAGAACAACAAGCTGCCAGCACAGCTGAGTGACCCGCTGGAGAGAAGTCCTCAGGCTCTCGTGTTCCTCAAGTGGTTGGGCTTTCACTTTCAGCCCAGGGGAGATAACCTGACAAATCCATACATCATTTTCCCACACTGGAACACAGAAGAGTTGCTGATTCCTGCTTATGACTCTTTAAAGGCAGCTAAAGGTAGTGGAGAATACAGTTATTTGAACACAGCATCACTCTAAATTTTTGTGAACAGTTAACTATATATGGCATACAATTATTTGAACACAGTATTACTATTACTCTATTTTCAATGAACTGTTAACTCTTTAGTTTTACAATAATGATTTTAATTACATTTCTCAGATTTGGCTTGTAGTCCTACCAGTATAGTTTCTGTTTGTGAATCCCTCCCACTGTCACAAGAAAATCTGTCATGTCTAATAGATTTGGTGAGTTGTTGAGTTTATATGTAAGATAAATCAGATTCTTATTGTTTGTTGGATTCTTTAAGACTAACAACACTCGAAGCAGTCGGTCTGCAGGCCTCCCAGTGGTCATAAATATTTTTTTATTTGCTCCACTGGTTTATTGAATCCAAGTTTCTAATTGTATATTTAGGGCATGATATAGCTAAAGTGGTCATTTTCAGGTTAGTTTTAAAGAATTTTTTTTAAAAACAAAAACCATTTGCACTTTTTAACTATGCAGAACCCCATTCTGCATTTAAACATTTTGTGTTGGATAATTGATGAAAATTAAAGTATTTATAAGGGGTCCATGTGGTCAAGTCAGTAAAGCTCATGACTGCTAAACCGAAAAGTCTCGAGTTCGAAACCTCGCCCAGATGAGGCTCGTTAGATGGGAACAGCCACTCTTCTAGGAGAGACAACTCCAAAATCAAACAACTGCTGCCTTGTGGTTTGTTCTTGGTTGGACAAAGGCTGTGGAAGCAAATCCAAAAAGAAAAGCAGGCTGAAATCGGAGTCAATGGCCTCAATGGCGCATAACCAGTTGACACGTATCCTTTATTGTGATGGAGGAGATCCCTTCTTTCTAACACTAAAATTAAGAACAAAAAAGAAGAAGACAAAAAAAAGTATATTATTATAATACTAATCTAATCCATGATTTTGGTAGAAAAAAATGGAAACTTTTTTCTACTAGGATTAAGAAATTATGAAAAAAAATAAGTATTATTACCTTTCCCAACAGAATTGTATTTTTTTTTAGTGAAAAGTTACTTGTTATGAGCAGTGGCGTAGGCAGGGGGGGGTTAGGGGGGGTCATAAACCCCCCCCATAGACCCCTCGGTATATATAAAAAGTATGAGGGGGGTGCAAATCGAAAGTTTGAGGGGGGGGGTGCAAATCGAAAGTTTGAGGGGGGGGTGCAAATCGAAAGTTTGAGGGGGGGGTGCAAATCGAAAGTTTGAGGGGGGGGTGCAAATCGAAAGTTTGTCCCCGGGTAAAAATTGGAACCCCCCCCTTGAGACGATCCTGGCTACGCCACTGGTTATGAGTCATTTTTGGTGTAGGTACTTACAAATAATTAAGGGACCTAAATAATTATGGTGGAATGTAAAAATATTCTGGTCTTACAGAGTTAAGTGAAAATCAAAATGCTGTGTTAAATCAAAAAGATAGGTTAAAATGAACTCAATGCTTGTATTTCTACAGATGAGTATAACCAAACATGTATCAATGCTTGTATTTCTACAGATGAGTATAACCAAACATGTATCAATGCTTGTATTTCTACAGATGAGTATAACCAAACATGTATCAATGCTTGTATTTCTACAGATGAGTATAACCAAACATGTATCAATGCTTGTATTTCTACAGATGAGTATAACCAAACATGTATCAATGCTTGTATTTCTACAGATGAGTATAACCAAACATGTATCAATGCTTGTATTTCTACAGATGAGTATAACCAAACATGTATCAATGCTTGTATTTCTACAGATGAGTATAACCAAACATGTATCAATGCTTGTATTTCTACAGATGAGTATAACCAAACATGTATCAATGCTTGTATTTCTACAGATGAGTATAACCAAACATGTATCAATGCTTGTATTTCTACAGATGAGTATAACCAAACATGTATCAATGCTTGTATTTCTACAGATGAGTATAACCAAACATGTATCAATGCTTGTATTTCTACAGATGAGTATAACCAAACATGTATCAATGCTTGTATTTCTACAGATGAGTATAACCAAACATGTATCAATGCTTGTATTTCTACAGATGAGTATAACCAAACATGTATCAATGCTTGTATTTCTACAGATGAGTATAACCAAACATGTATCAATGCTTGTATTTCTACAGATGAGTATAACCAAACATGTATCAATGCTTGTATTTCTACAGATGAGTATAACCAAACATGTATCAATGCTTGTATTTCTACAGATGAGTATAACCAAACATGTATCAATGCTTGTATTTCTACAGATGAGTATAACCAAACATGTATCAATGCTTGTATTTCTACAGATGAGTATAACCAAACATGTATCAATGCTTGTATTTCTACAGATGAGTATAACCAAACATGTATCAATGCTTGTATTTCTACAGATGAGTATAACCAAACATGTATCAATGCTTGTATTTCTACAGATGAGTATAACCAAACATGTATCAATGCTTGTATTTCTACAGATGAGTATAACCAAACATGTATCAATGCTTGTATTTCTACAGATGAGTATAACCAAACATGTATCAATGCTTGTATTTCTACAGATGAGTATAACCAAACATGTATCAATGCTTGTATTTCTACAGATGAGTATAACCAAACATGTATCAATGCTTGTATTTCTACAGATGAGTATAACCAAACATGTATCAATGCTTGTATTTCTACAGATGAGTATAACCAAACATGTATCAATGCTTGTATTTCTACAGATGAGTATAACCAAACATGCACCAGAGATCCAGCTGAAGGTCACTGACCTCTCCGTCCACCCCCTCTGGCACAACACAAAAACCAGAGCCTTGTTGTCAGCCATTGGGTTTCATCAAGTTGGTCTCCTGTTGTCATTCAACATGGTCCCTGTCAACAAGTAGGTTGGTCTGTCAACAAGTAGGTTTGTCTGTCAACAAGTAGGTTGGTCTGTTTTATATTTCTAGTTTTGAGATAAAATAATCCTTTATCTCACAGCATTGATACTTATTGTGTTGGTAACTCAAGTCGAACTACTATGCTTGTTTAAATTTAAAGTTGGTTGGCTTTTTCCTTCCTTGTGTTGTCTGTGCTATTTCTCTTAACTGAAGACAACAGCAACCTGCTCCAATTTTTACAGACAAATTCTGGTCTCATTGCTTCAGTTGACCCTATCCTTCAGCTGCTACAAAAGTCCAGTCCTACTTTACAGACTGGACGTGAACTTACTCGGACGATCCAGTGAAACCAAGGTTGGTTAGAAAATGATGAAATAATTCTCAGTTGAGTCATTGTGTGTTTGATAAGTTTAGTAACTAGCTAAAAACTTCATTGCTCATTCGTTATTTTGAATACAATTTTACCAAGTAAAAAATTGCTTTTATAATTTTTCTGAAGACTTTTGAGACTGATTGTCCAAAACTGCCATCACTAATGCCACTACTTCTACCCAAAAACCAGGTGAGCAGATTTTCTTCCTAATTCAATTTTTAAAATTTAACTCTTTTAATTAAATTATTTTTTTATATTTCCTTTTTTGAAGAACCTGACTTTATTTTTAACCACATATTTTAATTGGTATAAAATGAGTACTGATAGTGATCTTCGTATTTTAGCATTTGCAAAGATTTTTCTCAGTATGTCTTTAAATAATGTATAACTTGACCTTGTTACAGCTTCCCTTATCTTTACTATATATTTAAAAAGTCAGATTAGCCCTGTTTAAACGAGTCAAATATTTTTGTGTTGCAGTTGAGAATGAGTACACCTTGGTTATCTGTTCTAGAACACAAAGATGAGATGCTAGAAAAAATTAAATTAGCAAGAAGGTAATTTGTTCTCTTTCAGTTTTCCATCCTTCTCCAGAATTTTAAATAGCTTGAATAAATCTGTTTTCATTTTTACTGACAGTGCTGTCCTTATTGAATGGTATTTTAGCTGTTGACGATGTTGGCCTATAGTTTTTTCTGGAGAAATCATTTGATAATATTTTCTGTTTGGTCAGCGCAACAAACCTCAGTGATGTGTATACTGGTCATCTAGAGAAGGCTAAAAGTTGGCACAGGACAACTTTGATGTCCCAGGTAAAAATTTCAACTTGAAGAAAAATATTTTAAAAATTATGTAAATACTCATTAGTAATGCAGAATAATTTATAGCTTTGTTATTTAAGCCTTTAAGAATAAAACATTTCTAATAATTGGCTACAAAATGCCAGATCTGTGATTTCAGCATTTTAAAACACAATTTTTATTTAAGCAACCTACTTTTGTATTTCCTAAAGAATATATTCTGGCTTTTTAAATAAACATTGAGTCATTGAGATTTTTGCTTTACACTGAGAATAAAAACCTGCTATAATTATATAATCTTTTAATTTAGTTATTTGCAAAAAATATATAGATTAGCAATTTAATAAAATAGGTAATGTTAAGGAAAATCAATGATTATGTCATCTAGGCTAATGAAAGAACAGATAAGATGCAACCATCAGGCTCTAAGACAAAGGTCAAGGTGAAACCAGGTGCATCAACATCTGAACCTTGTGTCCCTGTGGACTACAAAAGACAGCTCACACCAACAGATATCAAACAGAGAAGAGATTATGCTCACTTTGTACTGCAAGAAAGAGTAGAGAGAATTGATAAAAAAAGAAAAGATAATCTGATCAAACTCTACCTTCCATACATAAGATCCTGAGCCTGTATTATATTTGTGTACCTGATGCCTATACTAAGCAACGGTTTGTCTTATGTAATGTACTCCTGCCTGTAACATATTTCACCTACCACCAAATTATATTTTGGAATGACTTTCTTTTAGTTTAAAATTCTGTTTCTCAAGTACTTTTCAAAATATTTTCCTGCTGATGAACAGTATAGCTCATAACTTTAACTAAAACGAACTAATCAACCACCTTGGCTATCTAATTATGAAAGTGTGCCTAAACTTAAAACACTTCATCTCATAAAATTTTCTGTAATATTATTTTCATGTAAATCTGTTATCCTCAATTGTGTGGACCTGTCATTCTCAAATATTTTATGTAATTCTGTCAGTCTCATTGAATTCATGATTTTTATTCACACCCTAAAAACAAAATTACTTAATTTACACCATCGTTTTTATAGGGTATTTTAGGGTATGCAAAATTTTACCACTCAAAATGAATAGCAGCTTCAATGAGGGCTATCTTTTGTTTATATTTGTTTGGAAAATTTATTATTATGCCAATTTAATAAGTTTTAAAGTCACGCTCTTTTACAAATATTATTTTCCTGTTGGAATTATATTTTTTAATTTGAAAAAAAAAGGCACTTGGAAGTTTATTTTAATGAATATAAAATATAATGTTTTGAGAACCTGTATTAATGGGTTTTTTTTGTAAGTATATAAAGGTATTTACTAGCTATTGATTTTATGTATTATTATAAATTTCTCTATAGTAATGATTTTATTTTTTAACAATTGTCAAAATGTGAAGGCTGTGATTTTTATTTCCAATTATTTATTTGTTAAAACAATTACCATTTTAACCAAGCTGGGATAGGTGTTGATATTTAGCTTGTTTTATTGGTTGTTTTAAAAAGTTGGATTGTGTTTTATGTGTGAACATTAAAAAGTTCCACTCTTTGCACACTTAGTAAATAAAACAATATTTGATGATGGTATGTTTTATTTAAATTCTATTCAGTGAAATTTGGGTGAGTTGCTAAAACAGAAACAAAAATTAAAACAGAAAGTAACATATTAAATAAAGTAGACAGTTGCAGCAGTATAGAACATGGGGTTAGACCTCTCATACCTCTTACATGTGATGTTCTACTGCCATTTTTGATGAATCATTTTCCCCTCCCTAACAATCTTATTGTTTGAATTGTTTTTCTGTTGAGGACGAAGTACAAACACATTGGCCAGAAGTATAGCTGAAACTGATGTTTACTTTTGGCTTCTACCATGTCATTATATTACTACAACCAGTACACTATATTTCTTACACTATCAGATTCCTTGATTAAGGAATTAATTTCTTAACAATGAAACTTTTTTCTTCAAGAATATTTTTGAAAAAAAATGTATAACACATTTTTCAGCAGCATTCAGCATTCAAATCTAAGGGGTCCACTTAAAAAACCTGCTTAGTACCTCAGATTGCTTTCTGTGCAAACTGATTTTAAAAAGTTGGATTTTTAACTGTTAAAAGATTAATTTTGAAGCCTTACAAAGGCAACTTATTTTTTTCCAAACATTGACTAGCAGGTTTTGAAAGAGGTCTCCTCAAAAGTATATTTTATTTTTTAACATTCATCATAAAGAACCAAAAATGATTGATTATAATTTTAAATACCACATAATTATTTGAAAACTAAAAAAATTTCTTTCATACATTTTTACATGAAGATACATAATGCTATCGTACACTTAAAAAAGCTCAAGTCAGCAATAAGACAAACACAAGAACCAAACTTAAACAATAGCCCACCTAGTAAGTCTTTCAAGTTTGTACAACATATTTACAAGTCTTGTTCTTTTAAATTAATCTGGCTGATTTTTAAAATCAGAATTTACAGATATCACAAGCAAATGTTTGTAAACATTTAGAGGAGAACGCAATGGGGTTACCACTTACATAGTTATTTATAGCAGAATACTTGAACCAATTAGCTTCCAGACTAATTAGGTCTTTCTTTAGTTTGTTAAAGTTGTACCTTGTGACTCAACAAGATGTAAACCTACAGGGAAGCCTTTCATAGGGGGAGATTGCATAGACGTGCAGCTTCAACATTTGAAGAGAACTTAATGCAGGCCATGTCAAAACATAGCACGACCTCAGTACGCAACAAGAAAACAAAAAAAATGGAAGTTAAACTATGACAACTTTTTCATTTAAAATTGCACTTATTGTATTAGTAGAAGAGAAATAGTTAAAATGTAGAAGACATGTACAACATATGATGTTAAAGTCCTGATAATAAAAAGCTAAAATGAGGCTTTATAAATATGTAGCCCTTCACCTTTGTCTACATGAGATGCATATGATTGTAGGAGCTTGGTCCCAGGGGGTGTAACAACCTGATACTCTCCCCTAATGGTGGTGTATTTCATGATTGTTTCCCCTACTTGGTGTTCAACAACAGAGAAGGGCAAATTATTCCAGTCAAGAATTTTTGTCCTCAACTGTGTGCACATCCATCATACAACGTGCTACAGATGGAAGAATTTTTTCCTGTAATCCAAGCCACAGTGACTGCTTGTGACTGTCACACATCACAGGAGCTGCATTTACATTTTGATTTTATATAAACAAAAATTTGTGTATTTCAACCCAAGCTGACTTTCTTAAAAATTTGAAGTTGTTGTAGTTAGTAATTTTGTAGTCCCAACATTAATGTTAGTAACATTTTTACAAACCTTTTGTAGCTAATTTTCTAATTATGCCATTGTCAAAAGAAATGACAAGAAATTTTTTTAAAAAATCTGTTATTTAGAATTAGTACAACAAATCACAGACATGCATGACAAACAAAAATGTGTACATGTACGTTAAGCTTGTATTCAACAATTGGTCAATAAATACTTTTGTTAACAATGGGAAACTTTGCCTTGTCCAACCAGTGGTCAAACTGTTCACAACTCAGTGTTTTAGTTCAGGGCTGTTGCTCACTGCTAGCTGGGTAGCCATTCACTAGGAAGGTAGCCCTCATTGCTAGTTGGGTAGCCATTCACTAGGAAGATAGCCCTGACACTGCTAGCTGGGTAGCCATTCACTAGGAAGGTAGGCCACACTGCTAGCTGGGTAGCCTATCAATTGCTAACCCTAACCCATGCCAATATATACTCAGCCATGGCTTGTTATTGACATAAATAGAATAAATATTGGTGCGTCCTGTCTAAGTTCAGCTAAATTAAAACAAGATGCATTGGTTTCTGTACACCTGCTCAGAACAGTGCACAAAGACACACAAGTAGTCAGAAAAACTGTTACACTTAAAAAAATATCTTATAATAAATTAGGTGCATATTTTAAAAATGTTAGGCATTAATTGGTTCTAAACTGAGGGCCCCAGCAATGATAAAATATTTCAAATAAATATAATGCAGAAATTGAAAAACTTTAAACTGAACATCCTATGAAAGCTTAAAAATCAATGCTCTGAAAGCAAAAGACTGTCTGTAAACCAAGAAATTCACAAAAGGAACGCAGCCCTGCAATGTTTTCCAATCTTATATTTTGTCCTTTTCTGTTAAAGTCTGTAGAACCACAAGTCTGAGATCTTACTAGACTATCTGCACAGCTCCTTTACAAAACTTGCAGGGCAGGAAGTTCCTGTCTATGAGTGGAACTTGTTCAACTAAGTGGGAATGTCCAAGTTCTGTGAGTAGCGTCAGAATCTTGTGGGCCGTTTTGTCCTCTGGTGGGGGCGGCCTGAATGCCTTGTGATGGTCGTGGTGTGGGTGGTGGTGGTGATCATGGTGCTGGTGATGGTGGTGATGGTGCTTGTGGCGGTGGCCGTTGTGCTCATGAGTTTCTTCTTCCTCCACATCCTGGGTGTAGCCGTCCATCTCTTCACTTGAGTGGCCGTTATACAGGTCAAGGCTGAAACACATTATTTTAAATTATTAACAATCATAGATACCAAAATTATAGTTTCAATAGCTTGTAAAACCAGACTTCCTTAGAAAATTGTTAAAAAATAAAAAAATTGACCTGTGAGCTGGATGTGAAGTGACTCTAGGAGACGCTGAGGGAGATGACCGTGGGGTGTGTTCTGAGTCTGGGGTGGGTGGTCTCTGTTGGCCGCCCACAATTGGTTCAACTTCACTCTCTGTGTCACTGTCTGAACTTGTGTAATCTGGCCATTCTAAGCAAGGGAGGTAAATCAATGTTATAATCTGGCCATTCTAAGCAAGGGAGGTAAATCAATGTTACAAACTGGCCATTATATGCAAGGGAGTTAAATAAATTTTATAATAAGGCTGTACTAAGGGAGCTAAGTCATCTGAATTCTTAAATGGAGTTTATAAACGTGGTCTTCAAATCAAAATTTGAGATATCATTGGTAGAAAATACCTGGACATGATATAAAGCAGTTGAAACAGGACCCTTTGTCCAGCAAATGTAAGAAAAGTTTAAAAAAAAAAAGCTGACGAGGAAGTCAGTCTAACCGTGATCGTATGAGTTGACAGCTCCATTGCTCATCTTTGTGATGACCTGTTTCTGTGGGGGGGCCTGCTGTGGGGTGGGGCTGAGCCTGCTCTCAGTGTTGTAGCTGTGCAGCATATTCCTCTCCCCCAGCAGCTGCATGACCAGGGCCTGCAGCTCTCCCAACTTGTCCTGGGGGTGGGAGTAAACAGATCCAGTTACCATGGCAACACAGGGCTTGGTGTTGGGTAGGGACAGGCAGGTTAGGATGTGTTGGGTTGATGTTGTGTTAGGATATGTTGGGTTGATGTTGTGTTAGGATGTGTTGGGTTGATGTTGTGTTAGGATATGTTGGGTTGATGTTGTGTTAGGATATGTTGGGTTGATGTTGTGTTAGGATGTGTTGGGTTGATGTTGTGTTAGGATATGTTGGGTTGATGTTGTGCTAGGATGTGTTGGGTTGATGTTGTGTTAGGATGTGTTGATGTTGTGTTAGGATGTGTTGGGTTGATGTTGTGTTAGGATATGTTGATGTTGTGTTAGGATGTGTTGATGTTGTGTTAGGATGTGTTGGGTTGATGTTGTGTTAGGATGTGTTGGGTTGATGTTGTGTTAGGATGTGTTGGGTTGATGTTGTGTTAGGATGTGTTGGGTTGATATTGTGTTAGGATGTGTTGATGTTGTGTTAGGATATGTTGGGTTGATGTTGTGCTAGGATGTGTTGGGTTGATGTTGTGTTAGGATGTGTTGGGTTGATGTTGTGCTAGGATGTGTTGGGTTGATGTTGTGTTAGGATGTGTTGGGTTGATGTTGTGTTAGGATGTGTTGGGTTGATGTGTTAGGATATGTTGGGTTGATGTTGTGTTAGGATGTGTTGGGTTGATGTTGTGTTAGGATATGTTGGGTTGATGTTGTGTTAGGATGTGTTGGGTTGATATTGTGTTAGGATGTGTTGATGTTGTGTTAGGATATGTTGGGTTGATGTTGTGCTAGGATGTGTTGGGTTGATGTTGTGCTAGGATGTGTTGGGTTGATGTGTTAGGATATGTTGGGTTGATGTTGTGTTAGGATGTGTTGGGTTGATGTTGTGTTAGGATATGTTGGGTTGATGTGTTAGGATATGTTGGGTTGATGTTGTGTTAGGATGTGTTGATGTTGTGTTAGGATATGTTGGGTTGATGTTGTGTTAGGATGTGTTGATGTTGTGTTAGGATATGTTGGGTTGATGTTGTGTTAGGATATGTTGGGTTGATGTTGTGTTAGGATGTGTTGGGTTGATGTTGTGTTAGGATATGTTGGGTTGATGTGTTAGGATATGTTGGGTTGATGTTGTGTTAGGATGTGTTGGGTTGATGTTGTGTTAGGATGTGTTGATGTTGTGTTAGGATGTGTTGGGTTGATGTGTTAGGATATGTTGGGTTGATGTTGTGCTAGGATCTGTTGGGTTGATGTTGTGTTAGGATGTGTTGGGTTGATGTTGTGTTAGGATGTGTTGATGTTGTGTTAGGATGTGTTGATGTTGTGTTAGGATGTGTTGGGTTGATGTTGTGTTAGGATGTGTTGGGTTGATGTTGTGTTAGGATGTGTTGGGTTGATGTTGTGTTAGGATGTGTTGGGTTGATGTTGTGTTAGGATGTGTTGGGTTGATGTTGTGTTAGGATGTGTTGATGTTGTGTTAGGATGTGTTGGGTTGATGTTGTGTTAGGATGTGTTGGGTTGATGTTGTGTTAGGATGTGTTGATGTTGTGTTAGGATGTGTTGATGTTGTGTTAGGATGTGTTGATGTTGTGTTAGGATGTGTTGGGTTGATGTTGTGTTAGGATGTGTTGATGTTGTGTTAGGATGTGTTGATGTGTTAGGATGTGTTGGGTTGATGTTGTGTTAGGATGTGTTGGGTTGATGTTGTGTTAGGATGTGTTGGGTTGATGTTGTGTTAGGATGTGTTGGGTTGATGTTGTGTTAGGATGTGTTGGGTTGATATTGTGTTAAGATGTGTTGGGTTGATGTTGTGTTAGGATGTGTTGGGTTGATGTGTTAGGATATGTTGGGTTGATGTTGTGTTAGGATGTGTTGGGTTGATGTGTTAGGATGTGTTGGGTTGATGTTGTGTTAGGATGTGTTGATGTTGTGTTAGGATGTGTTGGGTTGATGTGTTAGGATGTGTTGGGTTGATGTTGTGTTAGGATGTGTTGATGTTGTGTTAGGATGTGTTGGGTTGATGTTGTGTTAGGATGTGTTGGGTTGATGTTGTGCTAGGATATGTTGGGTTGATGTTGTGTTAGGATGTGTTGGGTTGATGTTGTGTTAGCATGTGTTGGGTTGATGTTAGAGTTGGGTTAGGATGTGTTGGGTTGATGTTGTGTTAGGATGTGTTGGGTTGATGTTAGAGTTGTGTTAGGATGTGTTGGGTTGATGTGTTAGGATATGTTGGGTTGATGTTGTGTTAGGATGTGTCGGGTTGATGTGTTAGGATGTGTTGGGTTGATGTTGTGTTAGGATGTGTTGGGTTGATGTTGCGTTAGGATGTGTTGGGTTGATGTTGTGTTAAGTTGTGTTGGGTTGATGTTGTGTTAAGTTGTGTCGGGTTAGAGGTTATTTATAATGTGAATTCAACGGCTGTGAGGTGAGTGTTGACTGTGTGTGATTGTGATGATGTGTGATGGCTAAAAAAAGGGTTAAGAAGATTGAAATAAAAAGTGACCTGTAACTGCTCCCTATCTCTGGCCAGCTGTGAGATGTAATCATTTTTCTGTGACTCTCTCTGCTGGAGTAAGGCCCTTTGGTGGTGGTAGAGGGATATGTACTCTCCTGGCAAGGATAAAATGGTATAGGGATTTGTCAAGGATAAGGCAGTAATGCAAACGGACCTCCAATCATCTTTGTTAATGTGATTTTAATTACTTAAGAGAGTTGTTGAAAACACTACCTATAGTATCTGTCAGATTGTATACACTACCTATAGTATCTGTGAGATTGCGTACACTACCTATAGTATCTGTCAGATTGCGTACACTACCTATAGTATCTGTGAGATTGCGTACACTACCTATAGTATCTGTCAGATTGCGTACACTACCTATAGTATCTGTCAGATTGCGTACACTACCTATAGTATCTGTCAGATTGCGTACACTACCTATAGTATCTGTCAGATTGCGTACACTACCTATAGTATCTGTCAGATTGCGTACACTACCTATAGTATCTGTCAGATTGCGTACACTACCTATAGTATCTGTGAGATTGCGTACACTACCTATAGTATCTGTGAGATTGCGTACACTACCTATAGTATCTGTCAGATTGCGTACACTACCTATAGTATCTGTCAGATTGCGTACACTACCTATAGTATCTGTCAGATTGCGTACACTACCTATAGTATCTGTGAGATTGCGTACACTACCTATAGTATCTGTGAGATTGCGTACACTACCTATAGTATCTGTCAGATTGCGTACACTACCTATAGTATCTGTCAGATTGCGTACACTACCTATAGTATCTGTCAGATTGCGTACACTACCTATAGTATCTGTGAGATTGCGTACACTACCTATAGTATCTGTGAGATTGCGTACACTACCTATAGTATCTGTGAGATTGCGTACACTACCTATAGTATCTGTGAGATTGCGTACACTACCTATAGTATCTGTGAGATTGCGTACACTACCTATAGTATCTGTCAGATTGCGTACACTACCTAGAGTATCTGTGAGATTGCGTACACTACCTATAGTATCTGTGAGATTGCGTACACTACCTATAGTATCTGTGAGATTGCGTACACTACCTATAGTATCTGTGAGATTGCGTACACTACCTATAGTATCTGTCAGATTGCGTACACTACCTATAGTATCTGTCAGATTGCGTACACTACCTATAGTATCTGTGAGATTGCGTACACTACCTATAGTATCTGTGAGATTGCGTACACTACCTATAGTATCTGTGAGATTGCGTACACTACCTATAGTATCTGTCAGATTGCGTACACTACCTATAGTATCTGTGAGATTGCGTACACTACCTATAGTATCTGTGAGATTGCGTACACTACCTATAGTATCTGTGAGATTGCGTACACTACCTATAGTATCTGTGAGATTGCGTACACTACCTATAGTATCTGTGAGATTGCGTACACTACCTATAGTATCTGTGAGATTGCGTACACTACCTATAGTATCTGTGAAATTGCGTACACTACCTATAGTATCTGTGAGATTGCGTACACTACCTATAGTATCTGTCAGATTGCGTACACTACCTATAGTATCTGTGAGATTGCGTACACTACCTATAGTATCTGTCAGATTGCGTAACTACCTATAGTATCTGTGAGATTGCGTACACTACCTATAGTATCTGTGAGATTGCGTACACTACCTATAGTATCTGTCAGATTGCGTACACTACCTATAGTATCTGTGAGATTGCGTACACTACCTATAGTATCTGTGAGATTGCGTACACTACCTATAGTATCTGTGAGATTGCGTACACTACCTATAGTATCTGTGAGATTGCGTACACTACCTATAGTATCTGTGAGATTGCGTACACTACCTATAGTATCTGTGAGATTGCGTACACTACCTATAGTATCTGTGAGATTGCGTACACTACCTATAGTATCTGTGAGATTGCGTACACTACCTATAGTATCTGTGAGATTGCGTACACTACCTATAGTATCTGTGAAATTGCGTACACTACCTATAGTATCTGTGAGATTGCGTACACTACCTATAGTATCTGTGAGATTGCGTACACTACCTATAGTATCTGTGAGATTGCGTACACTACCTATAGTATCTGTGAGATTGCGTACACTACCTATAGTATCTGTGAGATTGCGTACACTACCTATAGTATCTGTGAGATTGCGTACACTACCTATCTTATCTGTGAGATTGCGTACACTACCTATAGTATCTGTGAGATTGCGTACACTACCTATAGTATCTGTCAGATTGCGTACACTACCTATAGTATCTGTGAGATTGCGTACACTACCTATAGTATCTGTGAGATTGCGTACACTACCTATAGTATCTGTTTCACCCTGGAGCTGTAGGACTAGGTGTTCCAGCTGGTCAGCCTTGTCAGACAGCTCCGCCTTGTCCTTCATCACATGCATGTACTTCTGTTGGATCATCTCCATGGCGCTCTTCAGCTCGTTGTACTCAGCCCTGCTGATCTTATCACTGTCCAAGTTGTCTGACCCTAGGTCACACAAAAAATTTATTTTATCACTGTCCATGTTGTCTGACCCTAGGTCACGCAAGAAATTTATTTTATCACTGTCCATGTTGTCTGACCCTAGGTCACACAAAAAATTTATTTTATCACTGTCCAAGTTGTCTGACCCTAGGTCATGCACAAAATTTTTTTTATCACTGTCCATGTTGTCTGACCCTAGGTCATACACAAAATTTATTTTATCACTGTCCATGTTGTCTGACCCTAGGTCACACACAAAATTTATTTTATCACTGTCCAAGTTGTCTGACCCTAGGTCACACACAAAATTTATTTTATCACTGTCCAAGTTGTCTGACCCTAGGTCACGCAAGAAATTTATTTTATCACTGTCCATGTTGTCTGACCCTAGGTCACACAAGAAATTTATTTTATCACTGTCCATGTTGTCTGACCCTAGGTCACACACAAAATTTATTTTATCACTGTCCAAGTTGTCTGACCCTAGGTCACGCAAGAAATTTATTTTATTACTGTCCATGTTGTCTGACCCTAGGTCATGCACAAAATTTATTTTATCACTGTCCAAGTTGTCTGACCCTAGGTCACACACAAAATTTATTTTATCACTGTCCATGTTGTCTGACCCTAGGTCATGCACAAAATTTTTTTTATCACTGTCCAAGTTGTCTGACCCTAGGTCACGCAAGAAATTTATTTTATTACTGTCCATGTTGTCTGACCCTAGGTCATGCACAAAATTTATTTTATCACTGTCCAAGTTGTCTGACCCTAGGTCACACACAAAATTTATTTTATCACTGTCCATGTTGTCTGACCCTAGGTCATGCACAAAATTTTTTTTATCACTGTCCATGTTGTCTGACCCTAGGTCATACACAAAATTTATTTTATCACTGTCCATGTTGTCTGACCCTAGGTCACACACAAAATTTATTTTATCACTGTCCAAGTTGTCTGACCCTAGGTCACACACAAAATTTATTTTATCACTGTCCAAGTTGTCTGACCCTAGGTCACACAAAAAATTTATTTTATCACTGTCCATGTTGTCTGACCCTAGGTCACACACAAAATTTATTTTATCACTGTCCAAGTTGTCTGACCCTAGGTCACACAAGAAATTTATTTTATCACTGTCCATGTTGTCTGACCCTAGGTCACACACAAAATTTATTTTATCACTGTCCATGTTGTCTGACCCTAGGTCACACAAGAAATTTATTTTATCACTGTCCATGTTGTCTGACCCTAGGTCACACACAAAATTTATTTTATCACTGTCCAAGTTGTCTGACCCTAGGTCACGCAAGAAATTTATTTTATTACTGTCCAAGTTGTCTGACCCTAGGTCATGCACAAAATTTATTTTATCACTGTCCAAGTTGTCTGACCCTAGGTCACACAAGAAATTTATTTTATCACTGTCCAAGTTGTCTGACCCTAGGTCATGCACAAAATTTTTTTTATCACTGTCCATGTTGTCTGACCCTAGGTCATACACAAAATTTATTTTATCACTGTCCATGTTGTCTGACCCTAGGTCACACAAGAAATTTATTTTATCACTGTCCATGTTGTCTGACCCTAGGTCACACACAAAATTTATTTTATCACTGTCCAAGTTGTCTGACCCTAGGTCACGCAAGAAATTTATTTTATTACTGTCCATGTTGTCTGACCCTAGGTCACACAAGAAATTTATTTATCAGTCGCATAAAAAGTTATTTATACTACTAAATAAAGCCTTTGATGACATTCTAAAACCTATCACAGGAGATTAATACAGGACTATTCAAAAAATTGTTACTGTTAAATGTAAAAGTTTTTTTTTTCTAAATATATATTTCTATAGATTCATTGAGAAATTTTCAAATCTTAGGGATGTTTGATCCTGTGCAAAACATGTATGTCTAAATACATCAGACAAAAAAAACCCAAAAAACAAAGGGCACTCACTCTTCCTGATGACCTCCTCATTGAGGTCAGCTATTTTGGTGGCCAGGCTGTCTGAGAGTTGCCGCTGTTCCTTTAAACTTTCATACAGCTGGGTCCTCTCACTTTCTAGCTGTTTTATTGTGTCTTGTAGTGACTGCATCTGTGGGGTATATTATTTATTTGTTTTATTGTGTCTTGTAGTGACTGCATCTGTGGGAAACATTTTCTTTCAGGCTAAATGCTAACGAAAAGTTCAAATTCATTTAAAAATTACAGATTGGAGTAACAAATATCCTGAATATTTTATTATCAGACCAGCATTCAAAAATTGTATTAAGTCCCTAGACCAGTAGTTGGACTAAAAAGACAAAGAAACTGAGAAGTCACTAGACCAGCAGTTGGACTAAAAAGACAAAGAAACTGAGAAGTCACTAGACCAGGACCAAAAATACCAAGAAACTGAGAAGTCACTAGACCAGGACCAAAAAGACCAAGAAACTGAGAAGTCACTAGACCAGGACCAAAAAGACCAAGAAACTGAGAAGTCACTAGACCAGGACCAAAAAGACCAAGAAACTGAGAAGTCACTAGACCAGGACTAAAAAGACCAAGAAACAGAGAAGTCACTAGATCAGCAGTTGGACTAAAAAGACAAAAAAACTGAGAAGTCACTAGACCAGGATTAAAAAGACAAAGAAACTGAGAAGTCACTAGACCAGGACTAAAAAGACAAAGAAACTGAGAAGTCACTAGATCAGCAGTTGGACTAAAAAGACAAAGAAACTGAGAAGTCACTAGACCAGGACTAAAAAGACAAAGAAACTGAGAAGTCACTAGATCAGCAGTTGGACTAAAAAGACAAAAAAACTGAGGTCACTAGACCAGGACTAAAAAGACAAAGAAACTGAGGTCAATAGACCAGCAGTTGGACTAAAAAGACCAAGAAACTGAGGTCACTAACAATTTCATCCCTCTGGCTGATGACCTCTTCACCATTCTCCATCTTGGAATGTGAAACAGGCTTGACCTCTGTGGCCTTGATCAGCATGGTCCTCAGTTCACTGTTCTGTGTTGTTAAAGCTTCCATCATGTCCTGGGGAAGGAATGTACAGAATGGCGTCAAGTGGGTCACACACTTCAAACTTACAATTACATGAAAATACCACTTGAGTTAGTGGGGTCACTTTTTATGTATCTTAGTCCAGACAGGACATTACTTCTGTTTGGGCGGGGTGTTAGGCCTTTGGGCTATGGTTAGAGTACAGGTTAGATAAAAATGTCCTGCAGCCAGTGTATAAACAAGTAGCTAAATTTTAAAAATTAAATGAATTTTTTTGATTTTTTTTAGAATTTTCAACTTAGGTAGCATTCAGTCCTCCCAATTAATAACAAAGTAAAACAATATCAATCAGCAGTGAACTCATTTAACTAATTGGACTGAACTCAACTAATTGGACTGACCTGGGCAGCAGTGAGCTCATTCTGTAGCGTGTCCACCAACTGAGCCTGAGCCTCGTAGTGTCTCAGTCTGTCTGTCATCTGGTTCTGCTGGTATTTTTCTTTCTCCGCTGCCTGAGTAAAGGCAGTCAGCTCCGTCAGTTCTCTCTCCTTCACAGACAGCTGGGGAAGAAACAGTGAATCTATTATCTTCAAATATAAAGTATCTTGAATCATCCTGTGCATACTCTCAAATGTATGAGCTTAAAATATATTCACTATAGAGTAGGAATGAAATAGACAGGAACCATAACTCTAACCTTTTCCTTGAGTTGTGTGAGTTCATCCTCTTGTTGGGCTAGTTTTGATGACAGCTCATTGCTTGAGTGTTGTTCTGTTTGGAGTTTGGTCACAAGCTCCATGTTGTCATTGCTCTACACACGAAGAAAGGAGAGAAATTTGTACATTATTTTTTTAAAGTAAATAAAAATAAATTTACATTTAGTTAAAACAATTAAGGTAAAATACAAATGGCATGTTGGACTGTACATACTTGAAATCACTTCCCTCAGATAAAAATAGAAGTAGCAGTAAAAAAAAAAGTCTAGAGTGTGTATAACCCACCATTTTGACAAAGCCTTGCTGTAACTCTGCCAGCTGTGTCTTGAGCTCCTTGTTCTGGGTCAGCGCCCTGCTCAAGGCCGTCTTGTCACTCTGTATGCTCTCTAGCAGCTGGGCCTTGTCCCCTGCCTGCTCTCCCATCTCTTCCACAGAGCGCTCAAGGGAGGAAATTTTTTCTTCTTTCTCTTCCAGCAGTCTTGTAGAAAGAAAAACAAATTTATTTACTCTTATTAAAAAAACACTTTTTATAATTTTTCTTCCCACTCTTTCAGCAGTCACTTAAGTGTGTTTTATGCATTAATTATTTAGACGACAAGTAACCAATTAACAGGTTGAATGATAATTGAAAAAATTATTAAAATGTAACATGAAGTAAACTGATGTATGAACAGTAAGAGGATATTCTAAGAAAGAATGGTAAGAAATTGACAAAGATAATGAACATTACTATATCAAATTGTGCACAAGTTAACCAAGGAAGACACTGACCTACTAACCTACTTAAAGTTAACAGAGGAAGAAAGTGACCTACTAACCTACTTAAAGTTAACCAAGGAAGAAAGTGACCTACTAACCTACTTAAAGTTAACCAAGGAAGACAACTGGGTCAACTGACCTAAATAAAGTTAACAAAGGGGGACAACTGACCTGCTAAGCTGAATGTTGTCACGGACCTGAGCTTCCAAAGCTTCCGTTGCATCTCTGATGTTGCCCCTGAGTTTCTCCACCTCCTCAATGAGTTCATGAGGCACAGGCTGAGGGTGGGGCCCTTGTGGCAGGCTGCCAATATCCTCTGTTACAAAATTTACTCTGTTAGTGCGTGTCTTTTATCACAGGCAAGCCTAATGTCATTACAAATAACAGCTAGACCACTCATAATACAAAAAAATGTAAGTTGAGAACCAAATTGTAAAAACCATGTGATTGTTTACCCAGTTTTTTCTGTAACTCTAGAACAGACCCCTCCAGGTCATGTTGTCTGTTGAGAAGCTGCTCTCTCTCCTCTGTCAGGACTGTGATCTGGTGGAGGTAACATGTGATTTTATGGGATTTGTTGAACATGTGATTTTATGGGATCTGGTGGAGGCAACATGTGATTTTATGGGATCTGGTGGAGGTAACATGTGATTTTATGTGATCTGGTGGAGGTAACATGTGATTTAATGTGATCTGTTGAACATTTGATTTTATGTGATCTGTTGAACATTTGATTTTATGTGATCTGGTGGAGATAACATGTGATTTTGTGATCTAGTGAAGGTAATATGTGATTATATGTGATCTGGTGGAGATAACATGTGATTTTGTGATCTAGTGAAGGTAATATGTGATTATATGTGATCTGGTGGAGGTAACATGTGATTTTATGTGATCTGTTGGACATTTGATTTTATGTGATCTGGTGGAGATAACATGTGATTTTGTGATCTAGTGTAGGTAATATGTGATTATATGTGATCTGGTGGAGATAACATGTGATTTTGTGATCTAGTGAAGGTAATATGTGATTATATGTGATCTGGTGGAGATAACATGTGATTTTATGTGATCTGTTGGAGGTAACATGTGATTTTATGTGATTTGTTGAACATGTGATTTTATGTGATCTGGTGGAGGTAACGTGATTTTATGCGATCTGGTGGAGGTAATGTGATTTTATATGATCTGGTGGAGGTAACATGTGATTTAATGTGATCTGGTGGAGGTAACATGTGATTTAATGTGATCTGGTGGAGGTAACGTGATTTTATGTGATCTGGTGGAGGTAACATGTGATTTTATGTGATCTGGTGGAGGTAACATGTGATTTTATGTGATCTGGTGGAGGTAACATGTGATTTTATGTGATATGTTGAACATGTGATTTTATGTGATCTGTTGAACATTTGATTTTATGTGATCTGTTGAACATTTGATTTTATGTGATCTGGTGGAGGTAACGTGATTTTATGTGATCTGGTGGAGGTAACATGTGATTTTATGTGATCTGTTGAACATGTGATTTTATGTGATATGTTGAACATGTGATTTTATGTGATCTGTTGAACATGTGATTTTATGTGATCTGTTGAACATGTGATTTTATGTGATCTGTTGAACATGTGATTTTATGTGATCTGTTGAACATGTGATTTTATGTGATCTGTTGAACATGTGATTTTATGTGATCTGTTGAACATGTGATTTTATGTGATCTGGTGGAGGTAACATGTGATTATTATAAACACAAATTTAAACCACGCCAACATTTCATCAAACCCTGTAAATCTTGGTTGTGAAATGACAACCACAGCAAAAGACAACCCCCACCTGTTGTGTCAACTGCTGGGACTGATGTCGCAGTTGGTCTGTATACTGTTGGTACTGTTCTGTCACTTGATCTCTCTCCAGCTGGAGCTTTTGGGTCAGCTCTTCGTGCTGAAGGATTATAAAAAAATTAGTTTTTAGGAACAATCCCTTGTGTTTCAACTATTAAAATTAAGTGTTTGGAAAGATTTCTTTTTACTTTGGGAATTATAAAATATGATAATAATTTTTTCTCATAATTTCAAGAGCCATTTCTAGTGTTGAAAAAACCTCAAAAAATATCTTTTTAAAAAATTTCTATAAGAAAAAAAAATGTAAATAACAAAAGTAGTAACATTCTAGAATACACGAACCTGGCGTAAACGGTCTAGTAGACTGTCTCTCTCCTTCTGGAGGTTGTTTAGTATTTCTATACTTCCCTGAGAGCTCTCATTCTGGCTGGACAGCTGGAAGCAACAGTACAAGACAGTGTTAATGGACAGACACCTCTAGACATACTGTCTTAACATCACTTCTAGCTACAAGGACAGCTGCAACCAACAGTACAAGACAGTGTTAATGGACAAACACCTCTAGACATACTGGTCTTAACATCACTTCTAGCTACAAGGACAGCTGCAACCAACAGTACAAGACAGTGTTAATGGACAGACACCTCTAGACATACTGGTCTTACATCACTTCAGTTACAGAGTAGTCGGCTACCATTACATATTCACATGCTGACCAACAAACAGAACCAAGCAACTGACCAACAAACAGAAGCAACCAACTGACCAACACAGAACCAACCAACTGACCAACAAACAGAACCAACCAACTGACCAACACAGAACCAACCAACTGACCAACAAACAGAACCAACCAACTGACCAACACAGAACCAACCAACTGACCAACAAACAGAACCAACCAACTGACCAACACAGAACCAACCAACTGACCAACAAACAGAACCAACCAACTGACCAACACAGAACCAACCAACTGACCAACAAACAGAACCAACCAACTGACCAACACAGAACCAACCAACTGACCAACAAACAGAACCAACCAACTGACCAACACAGAACCAACCAACTGACCAACAAACAGAACCAACCAACTGACCAACACAGAACCAACCAACTGACCAACAAACAGAACCAACCAACTGACCAACACAGAACCAACCAACTGACCAACAAACAGAACCAAAAAACTGACCAACAAACAGAAGCAACCAACTGACCAACAAACAGAACCAACCAACTGACCAACAAACAGAACCTACCTGCTGACCAACAAACAGAAGCAACCAACTGACCAACAAACAGAACCAACCAACTGACCAACAAACAGAACCTACCTGCTGACCAACAAACAGAAGCAACCAACTGACCAACAAACAGAACCAACCAACTGACCAACAAACAGAACCAACCAACTGACCAACAAACATAGCCTACCTGCTGAGCGTAGAGTTCAGCCATCTCAAGCCTCTTCTGTAAATCTTCTACACTCTGAGTTAAGGAACTGCTCTCTGTGACCTAGATAAAACACGGTGAAGCTATTAACTTAAAAATACATTTAAACATATTCCAATTATGACTCTAGAAGCAGAAGGCAACCTGTTTAAACAAACATTAGCCAGCTGATCCTGAGAAGTTTGAAATAAAAATGTCTGGACTGCAGTTCCCAGGAAAATGAGCAATAGGAAAACAGCACAACGGAACACTGAGCAAACAGAAAAATGTGCTGATAAAAACTAATTATACTAATACACTTTAATTTTGTTAAATTTCATGGAAATATGTTTTATCATGCTACAATGTATATGTAGCCATTCTTTGTTAATGTCTATAAATGATTGTGGTCATTCTTTGTTAATGTCTATAAATGATTGTGGTCATTCTTTGTTAATGTCTATAAATGATTGTGGTCATTCTTTGTTAATGTCTAAAAATGATTGTGGTCATTCTTTGTTAATGTCTATAAATGATTGTGGTCATTCTTTGTTAATGTCTATAAATGATTGTGGTCATTCTTTGTTAATGTCTATAAATGATTGTGGTCATTCTTTGTTAATGTCTATAAATGATTGTGGTCATTCTTTGTTAATGTCTATAAATGATTGTGGTCATTCTTTGTTAATGTCTATAAATGATTGTGGTCATTCTTTGTTAATGTCTATAAATGATTGTGGTCATTCTTTGTTAATGTCTATAAATCCTAGATTTAAGAAAACTAAAATGCCCTTGTGCACAGTTTTCCATTTGCGCATCTTTCAAATCCCTCTTGAATGCCTACCTTTGACTGTAGCTGTTGTTTCAACTCTGAAGATTGTTGCCTGAGTTCTTCATTCTGTTTGCTACAAAAAAAGTGTGTGATACATTGATGAAACAAATTATTTCATTAACTGACTGTTCTATTTACTACCTACAAATGACATTGGCCATTCACAGCTGACAGACAGCTTTAAACAAATGTTGACATGGTAAGCAATCAATCACAAGATTCTGGTAGTCTCAAGGAAGATTGAGATACACAGGAGCACAATACAAACAAAGCTAGAGAGATGATTGGAGACACTAAGAAGAAAACTAAGCAAACAATCACAATATTCTGGCAGTATAGTATAAAGGAAGACTGAGATACACAAGAACACAATACAAAGCTAGAGAGATGATTGGAGAGCCTGACAAGAAAACTTACTTGGACTTGTACAGTTCTATCTTCAACCTGTCCACTTCTTTAGCATTCTCAGCTGCTGTCTACAGAAGAAAGAAAGGGAATATATACTTGAATAAGTCTTTCAACACCTGACAATAGAAAGGGAATATATACATGTATAAGTCTTTCAACACATGACAAAAGGGAATATATACTTGAATAAGTCTTTCAACACCTGACAGTCAACTTTTATTTTGTGCTTGTGTTTAAGGTTTATGTGGATCAGAAGAAAATATTTCAACCATTCAAGTAAACTTATCCCACACCAACACAAATGTTATGTCAAGATGAGATTGTTAGTGAATTGCTTTAAGCTAATCATTCATGTGGTTACTTTTAAACTAGAGTTTTCGGTTAACGCATCATTAAGGTATTGGCACCTAAACTACAACAATTTACATTTTTGTGTTAATTTCAAAACTTGTAATAAAGGTTCACAAACAGAACCTAAACTACAACAGTTTACAATTTTTTTTAAGTTAAAAACTTATAATAAAGCTTCACTCACAGATAATGAACAACATTTTAATATGTCATTAAAGAGACATAAATACACTGTTTAAATACAACTGATATATTGATTTTTCTTGGCAACAAATGATGAAGACATGGTATGAAAACTGAATAAAAGAGCCCACAATATAAAGTATTGATAGAGCAACATATTTGCTTTAGTGTAAATCAATAGTGAACATCCCAGTGTTGGCCCTGACTCAAGTAAAGCCAGCTCTACAACTACCACAACACAACACAACAAGCTGGTGGCTGGTAGAAAAAAAACAGTCTGACACATTTTGTAGATTCTCTCATCTATAATTTATAATGACAATATTATGGTACAACATCCCAGTGTTGGCCCTGACTCAAGTAAAAGCCAGCTCTACAACTACCACAACACAACAAGCTGGTGGCTGGTAGAAAAAAAACAGTCTGATACATTTTGTAGCTTCTCTCAACTATAATTTATAATGACAATATTACGGTACAACCAAGAACTGCTATTTAAATTTTACTTAAAAACATTGCATATGTTAAAAACAGTAGAAATACAATTAGGCTTAACGAGGTCCTCTTTCCAAATTTGTCCAGACACAGAAGATAAATATGTACAGAAGAGCACACACTATTATGTTATCTATTGATTAAGACAGATGGTGAACTTTGGGACAGCTTTAACTGCTGGCCTGAAGTAGATTACACATGTGTAGCATATAGCCTGCAGTAGATTACACATGTGTAGCATATAGCCTGCAGTAGATTACACACCTATAGCATATAGCCTGCAGTAGATTACACATGGGTAGCATATAGCCTGCAGTAGATTACACATGTGTAGCATATAGCCTGCAGTAGATTACACACGTGTAGCATATAGCCTACAGTAGATTACACATGTGTAGCATATAGCCTGCAGTAGATTACACACGTGTAGCATATAGCCTGCAGTAGATTACACATGGGTAGCATATAGCCTTGTAGCAGCTTACACATTCAGCACACAGCTACAGCATACAGCCTTATGAAGTACATTCATGATTTTAGCTATGCAACTAAAATAACATCACTTTAAAGAGTACTCAACTTGGTCACTAAACATTGAATTCAAGCAACACATTTTTTATATTAAACATTGATTTTTTCTCACTGTGATCCAAATAAAAGCAGAGACAAGCTGCCCTAGTAGTAATCACACCATCAACTGACTAGGTTTTTAAAAAACTGTTCACAAGGGAGATTTTTTATCAAGCCAACAAAGATCTATCAAATTAAATTAAACTTAGTCAAGTTAAATTAGTTCTAGGCATACAAATATAATGCTACATATAACTTTGACCAGAAGGAAAAAATGTAAAAGAAAATAAGGTTTAGCTAGTATGAGGTTCACTAAAGGAAAAGTGTGTGATATTCAATGTTTTAAAAAGAAAAAGTTAGTTAAAATCCCAAGTCACCCTTAGTTTATTTTCTTCTATACCAATGAGTACATACAAGAGTAAATGACAGTTTCTGTGTGATTAGTTTGAAAACTTCATGCACAAAGAAGTTAATTAACAGATGCTTTAAACAATTTTTAAATACTTAATTAGATATTGATTATACATTGGAAAATACAAGTGCTGCTAATTATTGACAAAACAGCCAAACAGAAAGACAATTGTAAATTTAAATAAATATTTAAGTGATAAAGTTTAAAGGTTATAATATCATGTTATTAGGTACAATAGTGAAAAAATAAAGTTAAAAATATTTCTTGTATAACTACAACACTCAACAATCTATCTAATGATCTGTAAATCACCATAGCCATACATTGTACAGCAGTATTAGGCCTCAACCAAACAATGAAGTAATGAAGTTACAATACCAAAAGGGTTGGAGCAAATGAAAACATGAAAATCTACAGGATGAAGTAGACTGGAGAGGGTGAAAAGATTAGAGTACAAAAACAACTACAAGACAGCTTACCTCTTGTTGCTATATTGAACGTGTTAAAGTAATTAAAATTAATTAAAACAAGAATTAATTAGTTATATGGTTAATCTTAAAGCAACTTTAGAAATTCTACACAGTGTTAAATATTCAATACAGCACAGAGATAAGTATACTAAAGCCAACTACATGTTTGTTACATCTTGGTCAACAATAAACAATCTTAGAGCTGACATTATGAACACAGTTTTTTTTTATAAAGTTAAGTTATACTAAAGCCACATGTATTTTAAATTTTGGTCTTAGAGCTGACATTAGGAACAGAGTTTTTTTATAAAGTTAAGTTATACTAAAGCCACATGTATTTTAAATTTTGGTCTTAGAGCTGACATTATGAACACAGTTTTTTTTTATAAAGTTAAGTTATACTAAAGCCACATGTATTTTAAATTTTGGTCTTAGAGCTGACATTAGGAACAGAGTTTTTTAAAAGTCAATAAATATCAATATTGGAAATGTAATAAATTATGAACATCAATTTTAACATAATTTTCTGTTATATGAAGTATACAAATTACATTTTGAGGATTATCTAAACATTAACATATAAACCATGGACATTAGATGGTTAAAAAGTTATTTAAATTAGGCTGATATACTGACCAGAAAAATCTTTATGATATACAATGTATAAATCTCAAAATAAAAACACAGTGCTTGGGGGTCATCCATTTAGGACGTCAACACAGGGGGGGGGGGGGGGAAGGAAAGGGGGGGAATTTGTGGGTGCGTGTGGACTGTAACACCGTTTTAAAACAAATATAAAATTTGTATCCTGCATGCAAAAAGTGAAATGAAGATGACATTTCTCCTATTAAATAAAGACCTCTAGATACTACTTTTGATATTTAAGCCAAATATCATCAAAAGTGGATATGTGAGGACAGAGGTGGGGGGGGGGGGGGGTCTAAAATAACTGTGGATGTTATAAATGGATGACCCCTTACTATTTAAATATTTTGAGCAGTTAGAGCATTCTATCTAACTAGATTTTTTTTTAAAAATGGGACCTGACAACTTAAAACAAAATATTTTGAGAAAAAATTTGACTGTAGTTATCAAAAAGCTGCATTTGGCATACATTTCTTTTGCATGCCAAACCCCACAAGTATTAATTTACAATGATATAAACATAATATGGTGCTTTTATATATATTTTCAGCAGACAGAAAGAACTGACCTTTTCTAACTGGTGGCTGGACTGGGAGGATGTGGATAAATTTCTTTCCAAATCAGACACGCGTTGACGTGATGCCTTTAACCTCCCACTGAGTTCTTCAATTTCTTCTGTAAAACAACAAATAATAGCAGAGCTTAAGGATAAAGGCTGCACTGAACACAACAGATGATAGCAGAGCTTAAGGATAAAGGCTGCACTAAACTCAATAGACAATAGCAGAGCTTAAGGAAATATGCTGCACTAAACTCAACAGATGATAGCAGAGCTAAAGGAGACATAATTCACTAAATGCACAAAACAATATACAAACTAAAAAAACGCACTAAACAATACACAAACTAAGTATACCACCCCTTTTAATTCATTTCCATTCTTGGAAAAGTTGAAACAATCTTTTTTGTTAAAATGTTAAGCAAATGTTAAAAAAGAAATAGACAACACTTCTACTTAAATATGTACAAAATATGATATTTAACCCCCTATGGACCAGAGGTTTTTCTTGTGGTAATGTCTTATGTGCTAGAATGTTTTTACAAACTGCGTTGAGTAAATAATACATTTTATTTTATTTGTAAATCACTAGCTCTTAATTTTCTAAAAATTTAAAAAACCCAATTTTTAATTTTTTTAAAAGAAATAACAGGCAATATAGTACAATAATATAGACATAATATTTATAATAATAATTTTTTTTATTAAATATCAGTAAGGTGTGGCTTTTTTAAAACAGTATTTCTAGGTTTGAAATTATTTTTATTTTTTAAGTCACTAATCTATTTTAAAATTAAAAAAATGTTCTTGTATTTTGATTTTTGTGATACATGTCTCTGTGGATATGGAACTGAACTCACCTATTCTCTGATCAGCTATCCGCTGTACCTGGTTCACCTGAGACTGTAATTCTGTTTTCTCCGCCACTAAAATACCTATGGTCTGTATATGAACCTGGGTGGGTGGATAGGTAAACAGTCTAGTTAAGTAAGGCTTTAGGTATACAACAACAAGCAATCAAGTTTAGACACAATAGCACAGGTGAGTAGTAGAACCTGGGTGGGTGGATAGGTAAACAGTCTAGTTAAGTAAAGCTTTAGGTACACAACAACAAGCAATCAAGTTTACACACAATAGCACAGGTGAGGAGTAGAAAGGTTCTAGTGACACCACACCTGTAGCTGTTCTTTAAGGGAGCCGATGTCTTTTTTGTGTTTCTCATGAAAAGAGTTTCTCTCAGCCTCCAGCTGTTCTAGAAGTGACTTGGAATGTTCACGCTGAAAGACAAAATAATTCAGCACATCAGACCTACAGAAGGAACATTATATGTGCCAAGCAAGTATGTGGTGTAAATACTTTGTGCTATGGACTAGCTAAGCTGGTTAACCAGACTTCACCTATACTGGCCTGCTTGTCGACCCATGGCCTACATAGTCATAATTTAGCCAGTAGGCCTTCAGACTGAGATTTTTTGTGGTTTAAATAAACTTTTTTTTTTAAATGTTTAAGACCCCAGTTGTAAATAATCTAGTTAAAAACAAAACTTATAAAGAGACTGAAATAAAATATTTTGATGGATGTGATATTTCCGTTTAGGTTCCCCTAAACACATCATTAAAACTACTGTTAAAGCACTCACAAGTTGCTGATTCTGTAAACCCAGTTGCTCATTAGCCTGAGCATGTTTTTCCAGCAGCGCTGCTAGATCTCTGTTCCTTTCCTATTAGAGAGTTACAGTTTAAAATCAATGCTTATACATACAAAGCTCATATATTAACTGAATAAATAATAATGTAATATCTACGCAGTAGCTTTAGCTTGTAAATATTTTGTAGGAATGGTTTTCTATTTAAATCCTTAAATTAAGTAAGGTAAATATTCAACATATTTATTAGAACACAATGCAATATCCATTCTAAAAAATAAATGGTGTAAAAATTAGCACGTGACCTATTACATTCAAATGAGAACAGTTCATTACAGTGACTTAATAGCACAAGACAAGTAGAATAAATATGGATCACTGCATGCATTTCTCATATAAGTAATGAGTTAACAAGCATTTTTATTATTACATACAGGTCAGTAATGAATCAAGCAAAGATTATTAATCACTCGATAAAACTGTATTTAATTTCCAATCAATGTTTTTTTTATCATTATCTGAACTTTACAAAAAAATTAAAGTAATTATTGAAATTTATTTTTATGATTGAAAGTAATGTACGGTGTTGCAGTAATAAAACTAATGCTTCAATTTTCCTCTGTTTTAAAAAAAAAAGCCAAAGTTCATAACTAACAATACTAGGATGATCCCCTCCATGCAGAACATTAGGTTAACACTGATGTGCAGAATAAGACAAACAAAAAGTAAGCACCTCCAGTTCCTGTAACCCATTGTTGGACGAATCCTCCCAGTTGGCATAAGCTGATGACTGTAAGAAGCATGTGAGGAAAGAAAAAATACAAGGGCACAAATCATTCAAATCATGAGACCCAGATTATGGCCAGTCAAACTAGAGGCCGTTTTGTTGTAAACCCAGGGTAAAGGAGGCCGATGTTGTACACCCAGTTAAACTAAAGGCCAATGTTGTACACCCTGTTAAACTAAAGGCCAATGTTGTACACCCAGTTAAAGGCCAATGTTGTACACCCACTTAAACTAAAGGCCAATGTTGTACACCCAGTTAAACTAAAGGCCAATGTTGTACACCCAGTTAAAGGCCAATGTTGTACACCCAGTTAAAGGCCAATGTTGTACACCCAGTTAAAGGCCAATGTTGTACACCCAGTTAAACTAAAGGCCAATGTTGTACACCCAGTTAAAGGCCAATGTTGTACACCCACTTAAACTAAAGGCCAATGTTGTACACCCAGTTAAACTAAAGGCCAATGTTGTACACCCAGTTAAACTAAAGGCCAATGTTGTACACCCAGTTAAACTAAAGGCCAATGTTGTACACCCAGTTAAACTAAAGGCCAATGTTGTACACCCAGTTAAAGGCCAATGTTGTACACCCAGTTAAACTAAAGGCCAATGTTGTACACCCAGTTAAACTAAAGGCCAATGTTGTACACCCAGTTAAACCAAAGACCAATGTTGTACACCCAGTTAAACTAAAGGCCAATGTTGTACACCCAGTTAAAGGCCAATGTTGTACACCCACTTAAACTAAAGGCCAATGTTGTACACCCAGTTAAACTAAAGGCCAATGTTGTACACCCAGTTAAAGGCCAATGTTGTACACCCACTTAAACTAAAGGCCAATGTTGTACACCCAGTTAAACTAAAGGCCAATGTTGTACACCCAGTTAAACTAAAGGCCAATGTTGTACACCCAGTTAAACCAAAGACCAATGTTGTACACCCAGTTAAACTAAAGGCCAATGTTGTACACCCTGTTAAACTAAAGGCCAATGTTGTACACCCAGTTAAAGGCCAATGTTGTACACCCACTTAAACTAAAGGCCAATGTTGTACACCCAGTTAAACTAAAGGCCAATGTTGTACACCCAGTTAAAGGCCAATGTTGTACACCCACTTAAACTAAAGGCCAATGTTGTACACCCAGTTAAACTAAAGGCCAATGTTGTACACCCAGTTAAAGGCCAATGTTGTACACCCACTTAAACTAAAGGCCAATGTTGTACACCCAGTTAAACTAAAGGCCAATGTTGTACACCCAGTTAAAGGCCAATGTTGTACACCCACTTAAACTAAAGGCCAATGTTGTACACCCAGTTAAACTAAAGGCCAATGTTGTACACCCACTTAAACTAAAGGCCAATGTTGTACACCCAGTTAAAGACCAATGTTGTACACCCAGTTAAACTAAAGGCCAATGTTGTACACCCAGTTAAACCAAAGACCAATGTTGTACACCCAGTTAAACTAAAGGCCAATGTTGTACACCCACTTAAACTAAAGGCCAATGTTGTACACCCAGTTAAACTAAAGGCTAATGTTGTACACCCAGTTAAACTAAAGGCCAATGTTGTACACCCACTTAAACTAAAGGCCAATGTTGTACACCCAGTTAAACTAAAGGCCAATGTTGTACACCCAGTTAAACTAAAGGCCAATGTTGTACACCCAGTTAAAGGCCAATGTACACCCAGTTAAACTAAAGGCATATGTTGTACACCCAGTTAAAGGCCAATGTTGTACACCCTGTTAAACTAAAGGCCAATGTTGTACACCCTGTTAAACTAAAGGCCAATGTTGTACACCCAGTTAAAGGCCAATGTTGTACACCCTGTTAAACTAAAGGCCAATGTTGTACACCCAGTTAAACTAAAGGCCAATGTTGTACACCCAGTTAAAGGCCAATGTTGTACACCCTGTTAAACTAAAGGCCAATGTTGTACACCCAGTTAAAGGCCAATGTTGTACACCCTGTTAAACTAAAGGCCAATGTTGTACACCCAGTTAAACTAAAGGCCAATGTTGTACACCCAGTTAAAGGCCAATGTTGTACACCCTGTTAAACTAAAGGCCAATGTTGTACACCCAGTTAAACTAAAGACCAATGTTGTACACCCAGTTAAACTAAAGGCCAATGTTGTACACCCAGTTAAACTAAAGGCCAATGTTGTACACCCAGTTAAACTAAAGGCCAATGTTGTACACCCAGTTAAACTAAAGGCCAATGTTGTACACCCAGTTAAACTAAAGGCCAATGTTTAACATGGTTCAACAAATGTTGGAGGTTCTTGATGTAGACACAACAACAAGGTTATATTTTAAGCTAGGGTTTGAAGCTGTTCTATTACCACATCTCAACACAATATAAACTTATTTAGTTTAACTACTTTGATAACAGCTAATACACCATGAAAATGATTGACAGCAAGTTAAAATGATAAAGTTGTAAAACGCTGCTATAGTAGTTAATGTTTCACTATTTATACTTGAAGACAAGTATTAATAAACCCATTGAAGGTAGTAATCATTTTAGTTTATGAAAAAAGTTTATGAAAAGAAATTTAATTTGCACAAGTTGTTTTTTAAACCGGTAAATATTACTTTAGATCAGCACCATTTATTTGTTTAAGTTTCCTTTTGGTCCAAAGAACCCTAACCCTAACCCTTTTGGTCCAAAGAACCCTAACCCTAACCCTTTTGGTCCAAAGAACCCTAACCCTAACCCTTTTGGTCCAAAGAACCCTAACCCTAACCCTTTTGGTCCAAAGAACCCTAACCCTAACCCTTTTGGTCCAAAGAACCCTAACCCTAACCCTTTTGGTCCAAAGAAATGCATTCAAACAGTTGTGGTCTTTGAATTGACTGGAAATATTGACAGCATGCTTGGTGGAATAATGAAGGAAAGAAACTGCAAGCAAATAAATGTAAAAAAAATTCCATCTCAGAGGAGATCAAATGGTGGTTTCAATTCCCACAAAACTTACTGCAAGAGATGTTGTTTGTGGCTTTCTCCGAGCCTAGAAGAAAAAAACTTGACAACAAACTGACCTATGCTCGAAAAGACAACAAAACTAGGCATGCAACAAAGTAGCTGTCAATTCTAGGCACCTTTTGTACAAGATCCCTGCACCAATGACAACACCAAGCCTCCCCAACTCCCCCCCCCCTCAGAGAAGCTTCCAGGCGAAATAATATAGTACCAAAATTTAGATAAAATGTCTTTACCTCTGACAGGAGACCATTGATTTGTCGCGACAATTGCTGCAGGCTTTCTGTGGAAGCTGTTGTCCTATGTTTAGAATAGACAACTATCATCAAACAGCAATTTCTTAGTGTTTTATTTACTTACATTTTCTTCTCTAGATCTATTAAAATTTATTTGCTTCAAATCTAATATGTACTTCTAATATGTAACTAAAAACAGCTGAAATATTTCCTTACCTTACAGTGTTTTCTATGTCATTTCTTCTACCATCTGTTTCTCTAGATGCTCTCTCTGTTATAGGTGTCTTCTCAGTCTGCAAGAGGCAATAGTTCCTTTAATTGTGCACACATTTTTTCAATACCAATTATATTGGTAAAAGTCATAGTTTAACCTAAAGCTTAGTTTCAACCAGGAAACTTAGGATTGAATTTAAAATATCTTTGATTGTTCCTGTATCCATAAAATCTTTAGAAGTAAATATCACACAATGATTAAGCTACTACTGTCTAAAAGCTTACGTTAAAGTTGAATAAACGAAGTATTTTTATTTTTTATAGACGTAAATTAAGTAGGCACCTACTCATTTTGTATGTTTATTTATCAGCTCAGCAATATTGGTTCATTTTGTTTCTTTTTTTTTTATTCAGCTTTTTTCATGCAATGTGACTGAAACCTACTAATGTGTTAGAAAATACTATAACTATAAAATAGCTATAAAAACTTGATAATAAGCAAGCCAGACCTTTGGGGGTTGTGGGGATAGTGTTCGTACTAATTTTTCAACAGGCTCTTGGTCTTTGGGTTCATCCCGCTCTGCTGACTCTCTAGTTCTGGAAACACTGCGTGCTCTTCCAGTTTTTTGAAACTGCTTTAACTTGAAAATAAATAAATATTGATGTATTTTTATTTTAGTTTAAGAACTTTTTATTCACAATCTATATGAATAATTAAGAAACAGAAAGTTATTGATTATGCACTAAAAATTCATGTAAAATGTAAAAAAAAAACAATATGAACAACACATTTAAAAAAAAAATGAAAATTCTAGGCCTTGTATTTTATTGGCTGCATTTACGTGACACGCACAGCGGTCTGCTAAGTTCTCTAGGTAGAACGCGATCTAAAAATATATTTCAGGACTGCCCGATTTATTTTCATTATAGCGATTCAATGTTGAAATAAAAGTTTTATTTCAACACCAAAGTTACATGCCGTTTATAAAACAAAAATAGAACCTTAGTGAATCTAGATCTAGTACATGTAAAAAGACAGTGCAGTGTCAGTAGTAGGTCAGATGATAGTCCAAGATCTAGCTAGATCAAACTGTTCTTTAGTAAATTGTTTTTACTGCCATCTAGCATGCATGGTAGTAGATCAAAGTCTATATGCCTATATGAACTTAAAACAAAAAAATGACCAGAGGTAGGTTTGTTTTTAATTTGCTTGAATGGGGTTAGGGGGGGGGGGGGGGGGGGGAAAGAGATGTGATGACACCGATGATCTCAATTAGAAATTGTGTTCAATCTATGACATATACTATACTATAGGCCTGCTGAACTCACAGTGACCCTGCAGTTCGTGGTAAGATTTTTTGCCTGCAGGCTAGAAATGTCAGCAAGCAATCAGCAAGCAATCACGTGAGTGATGTTTAGAAATCTTATATTTAACAAACCCTCTGGTTGGTAGGAGCCTCCCAGGGTTCATTCTGCTAGGGATATAAAGGGTCCATTCGAAATATCAACCCACTGTATCGACATGTTTGAATTCGGGTGCTGTAAATTTTTGCAGATATTAGCACTAAAAAGTAGTATTACTCGCTAACCAGGAGGCATGGCCGGTTGCTAACAACTATATTGCGTAAATTTTAGAATTGGTGAGAAAATCTACTAAAAAACACTCCCACCAAACCTACCAATCAGGCTTGACCTGCCGTTTTTGCATTCTGCGCACCTCACATTTCACCAAGGCCCAAGAACCTTAAACTTAAATTTATCTCTGGTTTAGCGGCTAGCCTCCCTTATAGTACTATAGTACCTACTACCTAGGAGTACTACCTAGCCAACTTCTGAACAGCTCATGATACTTTTGAGACTTTGTATATAAAACTTGGCCGATGCTAGCCGGAATAAGATACGCATGCGATACGCATGCGCAATGGAGAGAAACTACGACTTGCCTTCGCGCGATGTTTTTGATGGTACTGCGCATGCGTGTGTTTACAACCGCAGAACCCTATCACCAACCCTAATCTTATCCCTAACCCTATCCCTAAACCTAACCCTAACCCTCATTCTAGCCCTAACCCTAGCCATAGGTCACTGCGTATGCACAGAGCTATCTTTTGCCGACTAAGTGGAGACGTTGGGGAGAAAAATCGGTAATCTATCGTTTTGGGTACGTAAAATCGCCCGCGACTTGCAATGTGAAAACCAGGTGACTCCTTAAATTTTAATAATTATTTCACATTTTAGGGAGGATTTATGTTTTTTAAAATACAAAAATGTTTCCTTGTTTCATTTATGTAGTACCTGTTTTTAAACAATTGAATTAAAACTTTTCCGTAATAAATGAAGACTAGCGATGTTTCCAACAGATGCAGCCATGCTCATTTACTATAGCAGCCATCGTGTTTAAGTTTTATTTTTATAAGCTTTTAGCGGGAGATTCAGGGGGAAGCCACTCTATTTTACAAATGGCTGCTGTTTATATAGCAAATCTTGCTCTCAGACACTGCTGTTTAAAGTTAATTTCTGGCCTATATCGATATATTTAGCCATTGATTTAAGTTTATAATTCATTTATCTATATTATTTGACACAAACATATGACAATATAGTCCTATTAAAGCCTTGACAATGAGGTAACGTTTTCGTACATTAATAGCCGCGGGCGATTTTACATCCGAAAAATCTTCTTCCGACTCCGAGTAGTCACTTCGATAAAACTTACACTAGAAAATAGAAATGGGGCCAATTAATTATGTCTATCAATGACTAATCGTAATACTCAAAAAGCCGATTGAAATCAATGTTTAGAATCTAGATTTCTAGATCACTGTCTTTTCAGTGATCTCAAACTCCATCGGCATCATCACTCAAGGAGTCAAATCACTGCGACCAGAGCTGCGAGAACTTAGAAATAAACAATCAAAACAATCACTCTGTAACACCGATAATTAGCCCATATGAGAATCGTTCTTCAATTATGATAGTTATTGAAAAATTCCGGTAGTACCGATGCGAGGAAATTTTTTCTATAATCGGGGGGTAATAAATAAAGGAATTTACTAACTTTTTTTTTCGCAGCTGCTATTTTTTCCCTTTTGTTGCTGTCCTCCATGTTGGATATGGCCTGCGCATTATTGACACGCAAGTAGACTTCCTGGTAAACTTATAAAACCTTAATAGACTGTGGCCTAAGCAAAAGTATTAAGAAACAAATATTTTTTAAAATGGACCGTCGATTTATTCAAGAATGCACACACTACTCCTACAGATTTACAGAGCCGGCGTTCGAGGGTGGCAAATGGGGCGCAGTCGCCCAAGACCGGCGCTACATATAAGGCGAACAAGGCGGTCGCCTAGGGCGCTATCCGGAGGTGGGCGCAAAAATGTGTAATCGCCTTATTATATGAACTACAGGGTAATATTTAATATAGTTAAATATAGGCTACAAAGGCTTAGCGATCTATTTATTTCGATGTCCAGAAAATTTAATTAATTTTTTAAAATTAATTATGGTTGGCTGTTGCCCCATAAACAGCGTGCCCCCAGAGTTTCTTACAGGCATCTGTTCGGGGGTGCAAAGCCCCTTCGAAAAAATTTTACCGCCCCCCCCCCCCCGAACGAAATGAAATTTATATAATTTATATAGAAAATATATACTTTTAACAGTGTCCGCCCCCCAAAGAAAGTCTACTGCCCCCCCCCCCCCCGAAAATTTCAAGTGCCCCCCCCAGAAGAAAAAAGTCTGGAAGAAACACTGCGTGCCCCCCCCCCCCCCCCCCCCCCCCCCGCATTGCATAGTTCTGCCCCTGTGCCGGACCTATTACAGTTTCAAAAGTTTAAAAACAAAACAGCATGATAACCCAAGCTCTTGGGGCTGCTTTGTTTGACCCGGGGAATAAAAATTATAAAAAGAAATTACAAAATTCCTTCTGCAGTGGATTTTTTATTTTATTTTTAAACACATTTTTAGTTCTATAACAGTTTTAGGTACAACTACAATCATTTTTATTGATAGTTCACCCCTACTTATAACAAGAGTTTTACAAATTATTGTGAAGTTGTAATAAAGAAATTCTATTTTTTTTTTACGTAGACACATGAAAGCCTGGGGTAGAGGGGGGGGGAGGGGAGGAGTGATATGGGTGAAGGGGAAATGTCTTATTGAAGTTCAAGTCCTCTAATTTGTACTTGAAACTGATTATGCCAAGTGAAGTTTGTATGCTATTGTACTTGTGATGCTCTGTGTTTAACGCAACAAGCTTACCATCCTTCACATACACGCAAGTGGTCAACTTGGGCTGATGCATGTAAGTTTATAACGCTGTCACACTTCTATGGGGGAGACGGTTTCAGACTTGTGCGACGATGAGGGTAGGGGGGGGGGGGGGGTCCGAAATGTGGGACAACACAAACTTTTAAATAATAATTTTGTAGCCGTTGGCTCTCATTTTTTAAAGACCGTAATGTAAATAAAAAGTCACCAATGTTAACGGAGCTCAGAAAATATTTTAGAAAGAAATTGCATGTTTTTGTTGTTGTTGTTGTTTTTAAACAGGAAAGAGATGTTATAGTGGACTGAGCTGTGACGTTATTTTAAGGGAAAGGTCTGCCTTTTTCTAACAACGTGTGACGATAAAAAAGTGTGATGTCTTTATGAATGTTCCCTAGGCTTACAACAACAATACTGAGAATTTACTAAAGACTAATAAATTATTTCAGTCCGTCTTTTAATTAATGTATTAATTATTACAAGATAAGTAAAAGTTTAGTCCTAATCTATCTTGAGAGGATAGCTTTTTTATTATTCCTTTTTCTTAAAAAAAAAAACACTTTTAAAAAAGGCCTATCACCTCTATAGGCTGCATAACATAACATCATCTGTAAGTGTAAAGGGCATCACGTCTTCATTCAATCGTAACAAAAAAGCCAGACCTCCCCCCTCCCAATTGAATGACGTCACACCTAACCGACTACCCCTATATATTTTGTTACATCAACTTAAGAGGTTAAAATGTAGAACAAGGCCAGGACAATTTTGCTGAAGATATTAGCCACCTAAAGAAAAAAAAAAATCAGCTGTTTGATGTCACTCTTCCAAACACCGCCACTTTCTCGATACACATCGTCAGAAAATTCTAAACTTTGCACACCCTCTTTAAGTTTGATGTCATCAAAGACGCCATTTTAGCCATTCACGTCTCCACTAGGTCTGGACATTTAATGATGATAAATTGATAGACCAATCAGATCAGTTTCTTTCAGGCATCCCCCACCCGCCCCCGAAAAACGTTTATCCCCCACCCCCGGAAATTTATATAGAGAATATATAATTTTATCAATATCTGCATCCCCCCCCTCCGGAATTTTTAGTGCCCCCCTCCCATAGAAAAAATTCTGGAAGAAATACTGAATCAGATATAGTATGCTATATAAACGTTAACTAAGTCAATACTAATAGCTTGCAATGCTAGTAATATAAATAGCAATAGACCCATAAACTTGCTATAGCCATAGCCTACAATAAACTCTAGTAGTAATATGTTGAGTTACATGTAGAAATGACCAGAGATTTGTATTAGTAATAAATAACAAAGTAATTTCAAAACCAAAACAAAATAATTTGAAATAAATACATTTATTATTTTAATTGATTGTTTTTACATTTCAATTTAATTAAGATCAATTGATTTTATCAATTTTTTTTACCATGAATAATTTAATTAACTCAATCGCTGGTAATGTCTGGAGGGAATTCTGTGAAAAAAATGTGTATAAAATATTTAACATATCACAGATTGTAAATAAGATGTTTGTAAATACTAGAATTAGCAGTACCATAAAGTAAAGTTTAAAAAAAAACATAGTATAGCAGTACAATGTGCAATGTTTTATTCAACAAAATGCTCACTGCTGACAGTAAAGTGACAAAATGCTCACTGCTGACAGTAAAGTGACACAGTGTTGTTGGGGCTGGTACAATCAGTTCACCTGCCTCTACAGGTACTTCACCCCCTCCACCCTACCCCTCCACCCCTCCCAACATTAGCTACCTTTTTAAGCTGTGCAGAACTGAAGATACCTCACCATCTAGAGCTAGTGACAAGATCAGCACTGAGGCGCCACCTGTATATTTAGGTCAGTAGTTGCAAGAGTTGATCCTGAACATTAAATCCCACACTTTAAATCTTAACTTCAGTTTATTTAACCAGAAATTTTTTTTAAAGAGAAAGCATCATGGTTATCTCCAAATGCAGCATTGTATTTGATTAATATTTACAAATAATCATTAAAAATTTGTAAGATACATTTTCCTGAAAATAACTAAAGTAAAAAGTTAAAATAATCAATTAAAAAATTGTTTTGAAATTTTACAAATATAACATGTAATAATAAAGCTGAAGTTAATAAATATAGCATAAAGAGACAGTTGGGTATTAAATTTGAATATATTTTTGATTAAACTTACACTTAGCCAGTCTTATATAGCAAAAATGTGTTTCTTATACTCAGAAAAAAATAATCACAATTTTGTCACATTTTTAAAAATTGTTTTCGAATATTAACATTTTTTACTTTCTCGTATATACGTAGTATAGAGAAAGTATTGTAATCGTGCAAAAAAAAAAAATCGAGATTTTTACAAATCTCGACGTTTTACACCTCACTGATACGGAAAAACATAATTTTGCAATCTTGTCCGTATGTCTGTGTGTGTGTGTGTGTGTCTGTCTGTGTGTCCGTGTGTAAACACGATAACTTGAGTACCGTTACTGCTAGGTTGATGAAATTTCATATATAAGTATTTTATCAAAATCGTAGATCCGTATCAACTTTTGAGCGATTTCCGATAACCGGAAGTGGTACTTTTTCTACTTTGAGTTTTTCAAAAGCATATAACTTGAGTACTATTTCAGATAGATAAATGAAATTTCACATGTAAGTAAAAGATCTAATTCTCTACCTTCTGTTAAATTTTGAGTAATTTCCGTTGACCGGAAGTAGTAATTTACGCTACTTCCGATTTCTCAAAAAACTAATGTAAATTTAAAAAGTACTAATAATATTGCGCACTATTATGCGCTTTTTTATATCGCGTTCACTTGGTGTGCAATTAATTTGTCTAAGAGATTTTATTCTATTTTTAAAACTTTAAGTATTAAATATGGATTAAAAATCATGTCTATAGCCCGAGTTCCCATCCCCTGTTATTTTATATAAAATATTCGAGAAAGTTTAGGGGAGATCACTCCCGGTTTATTTTAGTTAATATTCCATTGGTGACCTTCTATTTCTTTTAAAATAAATTAATGTTTTACACTTTTTAAAATGAAGATCTATCCAACAACTAAATAAGAAATATTGTATAATAACTTTAAAGACAAATTAGCTATTTCAGCTTTTGACTTGACAGGAATAATGTTTGATGTACAAGTTTCCCAAGTCAATTGTAAAAAAAATATGCATTAGTCTACTGCACAGCAGTTTCCTAATTAAAGCTTTAAATAGTTAAAGCATAACATCATCTATATGATGGTGTTCAGCAGTGAAATAATGAAGGGATTTGATTGGTTGTTATATATTGTAACATTAAATACACTATAGTTATGTACACATAATGGAAACAGACATAAACTCAGCAGTTGTTCCCAGTGAACACTTGTGTGTAAAAAGGTTTAGAAAAGCAACCTAAAATAGTTCACAAGTCTCCGATTATGAATGCAGTATATAAAATAATTTAATTTTTAGCAGTACAAAAATTAATTTGAAAGCAGAATTTTGTAAGCGGACAGTCTATCATCAGTGCTGACTCTTGGTCTGGATGTGTCCTTCAGCCGGCCAGTGGATAGTGTGGATGTGGATTGTGAAACTCCTGCGGATGTGTTGGGCCTTCTGTCTCTCTTCCTCAGGTAAACCTTGTTCCCAGGTCTAGGCTGAAAGTCCATGTCCTGTACAAACAAAAGGGGGAGATTTAGATGTACATACACTTTGTTAATCATTTTGTTGAGGGTGACATACACTTTGTTAATCATTTTGTTGGGGGTGACATACACTTTGTTAATCATTTTGTTGGGGGTGACATACACTTTGTTAATCATTTTGTTGGGGGTGACATACACTTTGTTAATCATTTTGTTGGGGGTGACATACACTTTGTTAATCATTTTGTTGGGGGCTGACATACACTTTGTTAATCATTCTGGTGTGGGTGACATACACTTTGTTAATCATTTGTTTGAGGCTAACGTTTATGTCCTGAGGATATTAAGCGATAGTTATGTCAAAAAATTATTTTTTTCTTGAAAATGGAATGAAGCCTGTTATTACATTGTAGGCCTGCATTTATTATATCTTCATTACAATTTAATCCAGAAACACACATTTATTTGTACTAGATGTAGCTGATGTATTCACCTGAGTACCAAAACACCTACATTGTGTCAGGTGTAATTGATGTAATCACCTGAGCACTATGTAATGTAACTGATGTATTCACCTGAGTACTGTGTAACTTAAGTATTCACCTGAGTACCAAAACACCTACATTGTGTCAGGTGTAATTGATGTAATCACCTGAGTACCTAATCATGTAATTGATGTATTCACCTGAGTACTATGTACTGTAACTGATGTATTCACCTGAGTACTATGTACTGTAACTGATGTATTCACCTGAGTACTATGTAACTGAAGTATTCACCTGAGTACTATGTAACTGATGTATTCACCTGAGTACTATGTAACTGAAGTATTTACCTGAGTACTATGTAACTGATGTATTCACCTGAGTACTGTGTAACTGAAGTATTCACCTGAGTACTATGTAATTGATGTAATCACCTGAGTACCTAATCATGTAACTGATGTATTCACCTGAGTACTGTGTAACTGAAGTATTCACCTGAGTACTATGTAATTGATGTAATCACCTGAGTACCTAATCATGTAATTGATGTATTCACCTGAGTACTATGTACTGTAACTGATGTATTCACCTGAGTGCTATGTACTGTAACTGATGTATTCACCTGAGTACTATGTAACTGAAGTATTCACCTGAGTACTATGTAACTGATGTATTCACCTGAGTACTATGTAACTGAAGTATTCACCTGAGTACTATGTAACTGATGTATTCACCTGAGTACTGTGTAGCTGAAGTATTCACCTGAGTACTATGTAATTGATGTAATCACCTGAGTACCTAATCATGTAATTGATGTATTCACCTGAGTACCTAATCATGTAATTGATGTATTTACCTGAGTACTATGTACTGTAACTGATGTATTCACCTGAGTACTATGTACTGTAACTGATGTATTCACCTGAGTACTATGTAACTGAAGTATTCACCTGAGTACTATGTAACTGATGTATTCACCTGAGTACTATGTAACTGAAGTATTCACCTGAGTACTATGTAACTGATGTATTCACCTGAGTACTATGTAACTGATGTATTCACCTGAGTACTATGTAACTGAAGTATTCACCTGAGTACTATGTAACTGATGTATTCACCTGAGTACTATGTAACTGATGTATTCACCTGAGTACTGTGTAACTGAAGTATTCACCTGAGTACTATGTAACTGATGTATTCACCTGAGTACCTAATCATGTAATTGATGTATTCACCTGAGTACTATGTACTGTAACTGATGTATTCACCTGAGTACTATGTACTGTAACTGATGTATTCACCTGAGTACTATGTAACTGAAGTATTCACCTGAGTACTATGTAACTGATGTATTCACCTGAGTACTATGTAACTGAAGTATTCACCTGAGTACTATGTAACTGATGTATTCAGCTGAGTACTATGTAACTGATGTATTCACCTGAGTACTATGTAACTGAAGTATTCACCTGAGTACTATGTAACTGATGTATTCACCTGAGTACTATGTAACTGATGTATTCACCTGAGTACTGTGTAACTGAAGTATTCACCTGAGTACTGTGTAACTGATGTATTCACCTGAGTACTATGTAACTGATGTATTCACCTGAGTACTGTGTAACTGAAGTATTCACCTGAGTACAATGTAATTGATGTAATCACCTGAGTACCTAATCATGTAATTGATGTATTCCCCTGAGCACTATGTACTGTAACTGATGTATTCACCTGAGTACTATGTAACTGAAGTATTCACCTGAGTACTATGTAACTGATGTATTCACCTGAGTACCTAATCGCCTAAGCTGTGCCACCTGTGGTTTGCCCCGAGGATTATCTGTTTGCAACCATTCTCTTAATCTGTTCTCCAGGGTGCCCAGCTTGGCATCGTGATCTTCAGCATTTTCCATGTCTTGTGAGAATCTTGATGTACGACTGTTGACAGACAGTAAAGGCTGTAGTCATCTCAGTCACATCTCATGTATATTTAATGAATTGGTTACAATTTTAAAGACTAAAGTCATTTCATCTCATCTATAACATCTATTTTTTTTTAATGGATAGTAGAGTATACTTATTTAAAACTTTAGAAATGTTTATTTTTCCTGGCACAGTAATGAAGATAGGGCCTATTTATTTAAAACTTTAAATGTGTTTATTATGTGCTGGTACAGCCACTACTGTAAGAAAAAAGGTTTTTTTAGTCATCAAATTTAACCTGAATTAATATAAAATTGCAGTTTAATTTTTATAATTGTTTAAAATGGGAACTATCTAACTGTCAAAAAATGAATGTTACAGTTTTTCAAGAAAATTATATTGTTTTAAAATTGAGCAGTTTAGAATTTTTTTTTATCAATTTTAAAAAAGTTATTTAATTAGAGAAAAAATCCTTGAATGTATGGTACCTGTATCCCCCCCTGCTCTCCTGATAATTCTCCTCATCCTGTCCATCTTCTGCCTCCACCTTGCTAAGGTTCAGGGAATTCTGGATGTCCCTGAAAGAGCGAGGCTGGTCAGTGGTGGAGAGGTACCTGCCGCAGATGACCCGTGCGTCTGGTGTAGAGTTGGTTTGGTTTGATGCAGCTGCCATCAGTGCACTGACACAATAGTAATAATTTTAATTACATTATCCAGATTTATTATTACTGAAAATTAAATATTATGTCACCCGAAGCAGAAAAGAAAGTACAATTACGGGGTAATACATTTGAATATAATGACTATAAATATAACTAAATAGAGGTATTTTGAAACTGAATAGAATTAGATATTTTAGTTTTTAGTTGGAAATTCTTTGTTGAATGCTAAAATGCATGAGCTATGAAGCTACTACATGATATAAGTCTCATCACCCCTCTCCTATTATAAATGTAAAGGCAAAGTTTTTTTTATTCAACAACAAACTTATCAATATAAACAAAATTAAGTAATCATCAGTGCTTTCCCTTTAATCCAAACATTCTTACTTCTTTGCTATAGGGGGCATAAGTCTGTCTATTCTCTCCCCTCTTTTGGCTTTCACTCGTAACTTCGTTTTTTCTCTAAGGTTAATAAGAAAAAAAACACTTCCAGGACCGTGCAGGTCTATAAGTGGACCCTGATAGAAAAAAAAAAGAAATTCTTAATAAAAAAAATTGTTAATAAAAAAAATTCTCACATTTATTTTAGATCCCAGGACTGTAATCCAAAAATAAAGTGTTTTAAAGTTATGGAAGAAATGCTAAGAAGATATGAAACAAAAAATGTACTTTGTGGTTAAGGAACTCTTTCTCTGCTGTAGACACTGTGTGCTCATCTTTTCCTTTGTCATTCTGTGCCACTGGTTTGTTTTTACTCTCAATTAGCTTGATTAGGTAGCTGGGACAAAGATTATCTCAGTTAATTAGATTATCTTGATTAGGTTGCTGGGACAAAGATTATCTCAGTTAATTAGATTATCTTGATCAGGTAGCTGGGACAAAGATTATCTCAGTTAATTAGATTATCTTGATTAGGTAGCTGGGACAAAGATTATCTCAGTTAATTAGATTATCAGGTAGCTGGGACAAAGATTATCTCAGTTAATTAGATTATCAGGTAGCTGGGACAAAGATTATCTCAGTTAATTAGATTATCAGGTAGCTGGGACAAAGATTATCGCAGTTAAATAGTTTATCAGTTAACTGGGACAAAAAAAATCTCAGTTAATTATTTCCTCAGGTAGTGGAACAAAGCTAATTCCAGTTAATTACATTATTTATGTTTGTAAATTTTTACCAGTTTCTGAAAAACGTCTTAGTGCAAGAAATACATATCATTTATACCAAAGTTAATAAACCTACTGTCAGATATGAAGAAGCCATAATCAGTATAAAACCAACTTACTGTATGAAGGGGATGTCTAGGGTGTTGTTTAACATTGGTATAAAACCAACTTACTGTATGAAGGGGATGTCTAGGGTGTTGTTTAACATTGAAAGTCTTGAGGCCAGCTTGACTCCGGTCTCGTCTCGCATTAAGTCGATGGTGCGCGGGTGCCTCCTGGTGAACAAGCGCTCGTAATGTTTGTGTTCCAGAACCAGGACTTCTGTGGACTCTTTACAGATGGCGGTCTGCATGTAGGTGTGTAGGTCCATGGTGAGCTCTACATCACCTGCAGCATGTGAGTAGTGAGGACATTAGGGGCAATGTAATGATCAATTGGCTCAACATCACCTGCGGCATGTGAGTAGTGAGGACATTAGGGACAATGTAATGATCAATTGGCTCAACATCACCTGCGGCATGTGAGTAGTGAGGACATTAGGGACAGTGTAATGATCAATTGGCTCAACATCACCTGCGGCATGTGAGTAGTGAGGACATTAGGGACAATGTAATGATCAATTGGCTCAACATCACCTGTGGCATGTGAGTAGTGAGGACATTAGGGACAATGTAATGATCAACATCACCTGCGGCATGTGAGTAGTGAGGACATTAGGGACAATGTAATGATCAATTGGCTCAACATCACCTCGGCATGTGAGTAGTGAGGACATTAGGGACAATGTAATGATCAACATCACCTGCGGCATGTGAGTAGTGAGGACATTAGGGACAATGTAATGATCAATTGGCTCAACATCACCTGTGGCATGTGAGTAGTGAGGACGTTAGGGACAATGTAATGATCAACATCACCTGCGGCATGTGAGTAGTGAGGACATTAGGGACAATGTAATGATCAATTGGCTCAACATCACCTGTGGCATGTGAGTAGTGAGGACATTAGGGACAATGTAATGATCAATTGGCTCAACATCACCTGCGGCATGTGAGTAGTGAGGACATTAGGGACAATGTAATGATCAACATCACCTGCGGCATGTGAGTAGTGAGGACATTAGGGACAGTGTAATGATCAATTGGCTCAACATCACCTGCGGCATGTGAGTAGTGAGGACATTAGGGACAGTGTAATGATCAATTGGCTCAACATCACCTGCGGCATGTGAGTAGTGAGGACATTAGGGACAATGTAATGATCAACATCACCTGCGGCATGTGAGTAGTGAGGACATTAGGGACAGTGTAATGATCAATTGGCTCAACATCACCTCGGCATGTGAGTAGTGAGGACATTAGGGACAATGTAATGATCAACATCACCTGCGGCATGTGAGTAGTGAGGACATTAGGGACAATGTAATGATCAATTGGCTCAACATCACCTGCGGCATGTGAGTAGTGAGGACATTAGGGACAATGTAATGATCAACATCACCTGTGGCATGTGAGTAGTGAGGACATTAGGGACAATGTAATGATCAATTGGCTCAACATCACCTGCGGCATGTGAGTAGTGAGGACATTAGGGACAATGTAATGATCAATTGGCTCAACATCACCTGCGGCATGTGAGTAGTGAGGACATTAGGGACAATGTAATGATCAACATCACCTGTGGCATGTGAGTAGTGAGGACATTAGGGACAATGTAATGATCAATTGGCTCAACATCACCTGCGGCATGTGAGTAGTGAGGACATTAGGGACAATGTAATGATCAACATCACCTGCGGCATGTGAGTAGTGAGGACATTAGGGACAATGTAATGATCAACATCACCTGTGGCATGTGAGTAGTGAGGACATTAGGGACAATGTAATGATCAATTGGCTCAACATCACCTGCGGCATGTGAGTAGTGAGGACATTAGGGACAATGTAATGATCAACATCACCTGTGGCATGTGAGTAGTGAGGACATTAGGGACAATGTAATGATCAATTGGCTCAACATCACCTGCGGCATGTGAGTAGTGAGGACATTAGGGACAATGTAATGATCAATTGGCTCAACATCACCTGCGGCATGTGAGTAGTGAGGACATTAGGGACAATGTAATGATCAATTGGCTCAACATCACCTGCGGCATGTGAGTAGTGAGGACATTAGGGACAATGTAATGATCAATTGGCTCAACATCACCTGCGGCATGTGAGTAGTGAGGACATTAGGGACAATGTAATGATCAATTGGCTCAACATCACCTGCGGCATGTGAGTAGTGAGGACATTAGGGACAATGTAATGATCAACATCACCTGCGGCATGTGAGTAGTGAGGACATTAGGGACAATGTAATGATCAACATCACCTGCGGCATGTGAGTAGTGAGGACATTAGGGACAATGTAATGATCAATTGGCTCAACATCACCTGCGGCATGTGAGTAGTGAGGACATTAGGGACAATGTAATGATCAATTGGCTCAACATCACCTGCGGCATGTGAGTAGTGAGGACATTAGGGACAATGTAATGATCAATTGGCTCAACCTCACCTGCGGCATGTGAGTAGTGAGGACATTAGGGACAATGTAATGATCAATTGGCTCAACATCACCTGCGGCATGTGAGTAGTGAGGACATTAGGGACAATGTAATGATCAATTGGCTCAACATCACCTGCGGCATGTGAGTAGTGAGGACATTAGGGACAATGTAATGATCAATTGGCTCAACATCACCTGCGGCATGTGAGTAGTGAGGACATTAGGGACAATGTAATGATCAATTGGCTCAACCTCACCTGCGGCATGTGAGTAGTGAGGACATTAGGGACAATGTAATGATCAATTGGCTCAACATCACCTGCGGCATGTGAGTAGTGAGGACATTAGGGACAATGTAATGATCAATTGGCTCAACATCACCTGCGGCATGTGAGTAGTGAGGACATTAGGGACAATGTAATGATCAATTGGCTCAACATCACCTGCGGCATGTGAGTAGTGAGGACATTATGGACAATGTAATGATCAATTGGGCTGATGAGTCCATGTGTTTCTGTGGCCAATGTGTTGCTAGTACACGGAATGACTGCTTGTTCTATCATGTTAGAGAATATGTGAGTCATGAAGAGTCATATTTGGCTGAGCTGAATGCTATGTAGTACTTATATCCTTCAAGCCATAGTTTGATGATTTTGTATTGTAGGTTGTTTTCTGAGCTTGTCATTTGTCTATACCTATAGTGTAGTGTAGTGTAGACTACATCATCAACTTACCCACAATACATCACCAACTTACCCACACTCTCGTTGACACCCAAATGACACCTACATCACCAACTTACCCACACTACATCACTAACTTACCCACCCTACATCACCGACTTACCCACACTACATCACCAACTTACCCACACTACATCACCAACTTACCCACACTACATCACCAACTTACCCACACCACATCACCAACTTACCCACACTACATCACCAACTTACCCACACCACATCATCAACTTACCCACACTACATCATCAACTTACCCACACTACATCATCAACTTACCCACACCACATCATCAACTTACCCACACTACATCATCAACTTACCCACACTACATCATCAACTTACCCACACCACATCATCAACTTACCCACACCACATCATCAACTTACCCACACTACATTATCAACTTACCCACACTACATCATCAACTTACCCACACCACATCATCAACTTACCCACACCACATCATCAACTTACCCACACCACATCATCAACTTACCCACACTACATCACCAACTTACCCACACTCTCGTTGACACCCAAATGACACAGCCTCATACATTTGCCTGTGTCTCTCCTCTTGATGCCGTTGTTGCTGTTGTGGTGAGGCTGTTGGTGGTTGCTGTGTTCTGTGCGTTTGCTTGTGTGTTTCACTTTTCTAATTAATCTAAATATAATAGAGTAGATATGCAAATGCAAGCAATGTTTTAATTATACAACTTTCTATAAAACAACCAATTTAATACAGTTATATTCTCACACTACTTGAAAAAGAACTTATTTTAATACAAGTAATAAATATTGTTCACATTCTTAGTGTTAATGGTATAGCCTTTTGATTAAATATTTGAATGTGACAGACTTAAAAGATAAAAAAAACTTAAGAGCAGGGTAGTACTGAGTTGTACCAATCAAATTCAGAAATATTTCTGAAATTTTTAACTAGAATATCTACTTATAAATGAATTTGAAGTACATACTGACTTATCTACTTATAAATAAATGTGAAGTACATACTTATCTACTGATAAATGAATGTGAAGTACATACTTATCTACTTATAAATGAATGTGAAGTACATACTTATCTACTTATAAATGAATGTGAAGTATATACTTATCTACTTATAAATGAATGTGAAGTACATACTTTTTTTAATGAAGTGAAGTACATACTTATCTACTTATAAATGAATGTGAAGTACATACTTATCTACTTATAAATAAATGTGAAGTACATACTTATCTACTTCATTTTCTTTGGCAGCCTTGAAAATCTGTGCATACTGCTGGGGATGATGGGATGGATCTACCTGTATTTCTACTTGACCACTGCCAGAAAAAAAACGTTATAAATTTTAAATAACGTTGATCATTAACTTTAAAAATTATTTAATACTATTTAGTGTCATTGATACATCATGTAGCTTAATTTATTTTTCATTTAAAATGTTTTAAAAAAAAAATTAAAGCTTTATATTTTTAAAATTTAACAAGGGACGTAACTGAACAAACCTGAGTATAAAATACATATTTGTGGTTCTGTCCCCTTGCCGCACTAAGGCACTTTCATAAGGATATCCATCTTTGTAAAGCGCCATTGCCAGTTGCTTCCTATATCTCGGTGACCAGTTTGAGAACAACGGATTGTTCTGGCAATATAACAGTTTAGCACATTTCACATTTGGTATGGAACTATATAATTACAAATTAGTAATATATTTGTCTAATTTACATCATGTAATACACTATGGCAAAATGACAAACTTTTTTCTTTAGCTGTCTGCACATCTTTAAACTTTATTTTTTAAAAATTAAAATCCAAACAACTTCTCTCAAGACACCCACCTTTATAAAAGTGGTTTTCTCTAGAAACTCTTTAGCCAGGACCTCCTTCATGGACCGGTTGTACAACGCCCTGTCCACCACTAGCAGGTCCGTCCGTTCATCAGCAACAATGGACGCCGTCCTGATGCTGTCCCCTGACGTCAGAGCTACGTCACCAAACGGTGTCCCGCTTTCTGATTTTACAGAAATGTAAATACTAAATACAGATGTAAATACAGATGTAAATACAGATGTAAATATAGATCTATTTACTCTATTGAAAAAAAAATCTCAAATTATTACAGAAATAGCTTTTCTTCTTGAATGTAGGAAGTATTATTTTTATGGAACCGAGTATGTTAAAAAAAAAAACGATAAAAAATAAGTAAGAAAAACTCACCAAGGGACGTAACACAGTACCCTAACTTTGCTCTGTCCAGGGCGCCATCTTTGGTGAACTGGATGATGTTGTCAAAGTTCCCGTCATCCTCTTCCCCCTCGAGCTGGTCTTTGTTTAGGATGTAGATGGTCACCTTCCCGTGTAGCACAATGTAGAAGCTGGAATGTATGGTCTAGGTCAGAACCGTGGGGTCACGGGTGTGTTGTAGGTCAAATGTCACCAACTTAGAGAGCGCCCTATGTCAAATGTCACCAGCACAGAGGGCGCCCTATGTCAAATGTCACCAACACAAATTGCGCCCTATATCAAATGTCACCAACTTAGAGGGCGCCCTATAATAATAACTAGACTTATTGCCAGCCTGACGGCATCGCTCTTCAAACCACTGGCTACCTGGCATATCTATGAAACCAGTGGCTACCTGGCATATCTATGTGGCTACCTGGAATATCTATGTAGCTATCTGGCATATCTATGTGGCTATCTGGCATATCTATGTGGCTACCTGGCATATCTATGTGGCTACCTGGCATATCTATGTGGCTACCTGGCATATCTATGAAATCAATGGCTACCTGGCATATCTATGAAACCACTGGCTACCTGTCCTACCTTTACAAAGGTTTGATCAGCGGCTACCCTAACATGTAGCCCACACCCAGCTACCACAAACAGACATACATTTAGCCACACCAGCCCACAGATTCCAATTAAAAAAACAAACAGCTGATGTAAACTAAAATGTGATTTATACCAGTCTTGTAAACTAAAATGTGATTTATACCAGTCTTGAAAACTAAAATGTGATTTATACCAGTCTCCAATGTCTCCTTGCTTGATGATGACGTCATCACGATATTTGGTGACGTAATCACAGTTCCTGATTATATCTGCCAAAATATCTGTGAATAGAGACAGATATGGTTCACAAAATATCTGCGGACAGATGCATATTTTTGGCTCATAAAATATTTGCGAGTAGAGGAAATAAAGATCTCTGTATTCAAGAAATATCCGTGAACAGAAACAAAAGAAAGACCTATATGTGAACAGAGGAAGAAAGAGATATGTAATTCATACAAGCAACCATCGATATAATTCAGACAAGGTACAAGGACTTCAATGACGTGTGGTCAGATTTAGCCACCATAACGCTGCCATGAGAGAAATACAAAACTTCACCTCCACTACCAACTTTTGTCAAAAATGTGTAGGTCGATGTAAGTATAAAGCCTGTGCACGACATTTTTAGACCAAAGGGTAAAAGGTCACAGTTAGTCCAGACACACTCGTAGACACAAATTCAGACCAAGAATTAGTTTCTGTACAGTCGACCCTCTTGTATGCAAGTATGTTTTCCTTCTTTCAACAAGCCTAGAATTTGCATAAACAAACTATGTATTGAATTAGACATCCATCAATCATAAAACGAGCTTCAAATTTACATTTACAAGTCATTGTCCGCTTTACAGCTGATTTTTTTTAAAAAGTCTATTGTATTGGGCTGCTATGATAAAAAACAAAATCTGTGTAAATTTATCGATATTGTTTGGGCTGCTATGATAAAAAAAAATCTGGGTAAATTTATCGAGTGCCAAAAAAAGCGGGAGATATTCTAATGAAGATCTGAACCAATAAAGATAATCTCGGCCTCTTGAGCTTTATCTCGCGGGATTTAACAGCTCATAAATTCAGCAGACAAGTTGAACAAACAATCTCTTCATGGGAGGTGGCAGATAAACTATACAGTAAACAATTTAAGGGGGGGGGGGGGGGTCAGAGGAACTGTACAGTGACCGTTTGAAGAGGGAGTGGGGGGCCAGAGGAACTGTACAGTACACATTAAATTGGGGGGGGGGGGGGGGTCAGAGAAATCATACTGAACATGTGGTTTGGGGTCGGAAGAAATTAAGGATAGCAAGTTCTTTTTTTTTTGGGGGGGGGGGGGGGATTTTATTGTCACCAAATCTTTGAAAGCGAGCCTAGATGACTTTAGCCTTACTGACAACATTAGCCTAGGTGATGATATAAGCCTAGTTGACAACTTTAGCCTGAGTGATTTACACGACCAATGTCAAATGTTCACGTTACCACATCAAGGCCACCCACTGGACGGGTCATCCACTAGATTAGTCCCCCACTGAATGGGGGGGGGGGGGGGGCTGGGGTTTAAATCCTCAAAATAATTGTGACGTCATTTATAGATGACCCCTAATATAATTGCACACGTCTCGTCAAGAACGTTGGGGTTTGCACCCCCCCCCCATTCACCCCCCTCTAGCCACGCCCCTGTTGACGTTACCCCCCCCCCCCCCTCCACGAAACAGACACGTTTATTTACAGACGTGTGAACTCTTAGCAAGCAACCAAGTGAAAGCCGAGTGATATTAAGAAAAAAGTAATTTGGCGAATTGAGCGAGCTACTTCCTGTACAGTTTTAAAAACTAGGATTAGCACGATTACACGTTCGACCAATAAACTGATAACCTAATCCCAACCTCTATAAAACAATTTCACTGATTTGAAAGAACTATAATTTTAAACTATACTTTCTAAAATGTAATTAGTATTACTTCCCGTGTTAAACAGTTAAGACCTACTTTTAACATTAATAACAAGGCTTAACTTTTAAAATACAACAAGATCTTTAGACGCTATGGCCATATTTTAAAATTAGCCTACTGTTATACAGGGCCTCTTTACCACCTGCTTATTGTAATTTTGCATAAGAAAGAAACAAGATAGGTGACCGAGCCTGCCGAGGTCAGAAAGAGGTGAACTCTACTTCTACTGCCACATTGACCCTCAGCTCCGACAGGGTATATTTACGTGACTTTGTGACGATGTGGGACGGAGGGTAGGAGAGGGAGGTAAAATCGTCAAAAAATATTGACGTCATTTATGGATGACCTATTAGCAGTCTGCTCATTTTAGATATCTGCTGGTAGGTGCAGGCTGGTGGGGCGCCAGGTGAAGGCAGGTGGGGCGCCAGGTGAAGGCTGGTGGGGCGCCAGGTGCGGGCTGGTGGGGCTCCAGGTGCGGGCTGGTGGGGCTCCAGGTGCGGGCTGGTGGGGCGCCAGGTGAAGGCAGGTGGGGCGCCAGGTGAAGGCTGGTGGGGCGCCAGGTGCGGGCTGGTGGGGCTCCAGGTGCGGGCTGGTGGGGCTCCAGGTGCGGGCTGGTGGGGCGCCAGGTGAAGGCAGGTGGGGCGCCAGGTGAAGGCTGGTGGGGCGCCAGGTGAAGGCAGGTGGGGCGCCAGGTGAAGGCAGGTGGGGCGCCAGGTGAAGGCAGGTGGGGCGCCAGGTGAAGGCTGGTGGGGCGCCAGGTGAAGGCAGGTGGGGCGCCAGGTGAAGGCTGGTGGGGCGCCAGGTGAAGGCTGGTGGGGCGCCAGGTGAAGGCAGGTGGGGCGCCAGGTGAAGGCAGGTGGGGCGCCAGGTGAAGGGTGGTGGGGCTCCAGGTGCGGGCTGGTGGGGCTCCAGGTGCGGGCTGGTGGGGCGCCAGGTGAAGGCAGGTGGGGCGCCAGGTGAAGGCAGGTGGGGCGCCAGGTGAAGGCAGGTGGGGCGCCAGGTGAAGGCTGGTGGGGCTCCAGGTGCGGGCTGGTGGGGCGCCAGGTGAAGGCAGGTGGGGCGCCAGGTGAAGGCAGGTGGGGCGCCAGGTGAAGGCTGGTGGGGCTCCAGGTGCGGGCTGGTGGGGCGCCAGGTGAAGGCAGGTGGGGCGCCAGGTGAAGGCAGGTGGGGCGCCAGGTGAAGGCTGGTGGGGCGCCAGGTGCGGGCTGGTGGGGCTCCAGGTGCGGGCTGGTGGGGCTCCAGGTGCGGGCTGGTGGGGCGCCAGGTGAAGGCAGGTGGGGCGCCAGGTGAAGGCTGGTGGGGCGCCAGGTGCGGGCTGGTGGGGCTCCAGGTGCGGGCTGGTGGGGCTCCAGGTGCGGGCTGGTGGGGCGCCAGGTGAAGGCAGGTGGGGCGCCAGGTGAAGGCTGGTGGGGCGCCAGGTGAAGGCTGGTGGGGCGCCAGGTGAAGGCAGGTGGGGCGCCAGGTGAAGGCAGGTGGGGCGCCAGGTGAAGGCTGGTGGGGCTCCAGGTGCGGGCTGGTGGGGCGCCAGGTGCGGGCTGGTGGGGCGCCAGGTGCGGGCTGGTGGGGCGCCAGGTGAAGGCTGGTGGGGCGCCAGGTGAAGGCTGGTGGGGCGCCAGGTGAAGGCAGGTGGGGCGCCAGGTGAAGGCTGGTGGGGCGCCAGGTGAAGGCAGGTGGGGCGCCAGGTGAAGGCTGGTGGGGCGCCAGGTGAAGGCAGGTGGGGCGCCAGGTGAAGGCAGGTGGGGCGCCAGGTGCGGGCTGGTGGGGCTCCAGGTGCGGGCTGGTGGGGCGCCAGGTGCGGGCTGGTGGGGCGCCAGGTGAAGGCAGGTGGGGCGCCAGGTGCGGGCTGGTGGGGCTCCAGGTGCGGGCTGGTGGGGCGCCAGGTGCGGGCTGGTGGGGCGCCAGGTGAAGGCAGGTGGGGCGCCAGGTGAAGGCTGGTGGGGCGCCAGGTGAAGGCAGGTGGGGCGCCAGGTGAAGGCAGGTGGGGCGCCAGGTGAAGGCTGGTGGGGCTCCAGGTGCGGGCTGGTGGGGCTCCAGGTGCGGGCTGGTGGGGCGCCAGGTGCGGGCTGGTGGGGCGCCAGGTGAAGGCTGGTGGGGCGCCAGGTGAAGGCAGGTGGGGCGCCAGGTGAAGGCTGGTGGGGCGCCAGGTGAAGGCAGGTGGGGCGCCAGGTGAAGGCAGGTGGGGCGCCAGGTGCGGGCTGGTGGGGCTCCAGGTGCGGGCTGGTGGGGCGCCAGGTGCGGGCTGGTGGGGCGCCAGGTGAAGGCTGGTGGGGCGCCAGGTGAAGGCAGGTGGGGCTCCAGGTGCGGGCTGGTGGGGCGCCAGGTGAAGGCTGGTGGGGCGCCAGGAAGCAGAGCGTTGCCTCACAGAATTTATATCACGCCGGGAAATTTAAAGAAATCCCCGCGAGTTTTATTCTGGTCCCGGCATAGTTCACGCTAAACTCAAGGTTTTACATGTCGTTTCGGTATTCGTCCTCTGCTCCACCCCCACCTCCTCCCCTCCGCGTTTTATTAATCTTTTTAAAAAACTTCAGGCACAGCAGCTTGACTAACCACAGTCCAAATCTGGTTTCTTTATTTGTTTATCAAAAAAACAAGCCAACATTTTTAAAATCCGCATTCTTAAAAAGACTAGTAACTTAATATGACGGTCTTTTTTTTTTTTTGTAGCGTAAAAGCGCGTTAACCGCTTTACCGACAGGAAACGTGGGAAGAAACGAGAAAACTGTGCAAACAAAAAGAAACCAGTAAGTACAGTCTGATCTATGCATGCACATTTTAGACAAGGCAAACACATGCACGACAATGGAGGTTATGTTGACCGTCTTCAATGACTAGTGACGTATGACAACAGATAGGTATCTGACTGGGGGTTGTGTGGTACAGATAGGTATCTAACTGGGGGTTGTGTGGTACAGATAGGTATCTGACTGGGGGTTGTGTGGTACAGATAGGTATCTGACTGGGGGTTGTGTGGTACAGAGAGGTATCTGACTGGGGGGGGGGTTGTGTGGTACAGATAGGTATCTGACTGGGGGTTGTGTGGTACAGATAGGTATCTGACTGGGGGGGGGGGTTGTGTGGTACAGATAGGTATCTGACTGGGGGTTGTGTGGTACAGATAGGTATCTGACTGGGGGTTGTGTGGTACAGAGAGGTATCTGACTGGGGGGGGGGTTGTGTGGTACAGATAGGTATCTGACTGGGAGTTGTGTGGTACAGATAGGTATCTGACTGGGGGTTGTGTGGTACAGATAGGTATCTGACTGGGAGTTGTGTGGTACAGATAGGTATCTGACTGGGGGTTGTGTGGTACAGATAGGTATCTGACTGGGGGGGTT